CTATTAGAATGCAAAATATTCGTATTTATAAATATTTATTGGATTAAATTAGTTTCTGCGTGATTCGCCACATTGGATCGCTTAGACGTAGGCTTTTACTTTTGTATGCTTAGCTTATACACTTTCGATCTGCGCAAATTGCCTTACAATAAATTGTATTTTAACCTACGATGAGTTCAAGTCCCGCCCACTGATTACTGACTTAACTCTCCGGAAATCTTAAACACTATATGGGAGCTGGTCGCAGGGGGGACTTATGAAGGGGCGGTTTTGAAAAGCCATGGACGTGGCTCAGGGGGCGTGGTTGGGAGGCGCGGGATGAGACGACGCTAGGTGAAATCCGGCGGCTTGTACTTCGGCGGTCGCTTAATTGGCTTCTATAACCAATTGCGGCCGCCACGTCATATGTTGTTCTCCTTGGCGCCCTTGGCCCCGGTACCAGAACCTGATCCAGACCCAGATCCGGCATTAGTCGTCGCCCCGGCGTCATTGTCGCTCTTGTTGTTACTGTTGTTGTTGCTGGTGCTGTTGGTATTGGACGCCGTCGATTCCTCGCCATCAGCTCCGTCACCTTAAAACAGGATAATGGTATGATTAGTTGGATGTCAAAATAATATCAGTGGGTATATAGTTCAGTGTAATTTTTAGTTAATCACTTGGGGATAACAATACAATTGATTGCATACTAAATACTATTATTTAATATACTTCCAACCAACTATCCGTTACTAAGATACGGTAAAATTATTCAGATTCAGATTATTGCATATAAAAACGACAAGGTCTTGGTCTTATTTTTACTTTGATCAGTCTTATACATTAATCCAAACAAATATATACACATTTTACCCACCCTTTTCCTTTTCGTCCTTGATCTCGCTAGATGTCTCAGACGAGGCCTTGTTGCTGTTGGTGTCCTTGTCTAGACGCGGTCGCTTTCGCTGGCCCTTGTACGTTCGGTTATCCCTTCGACCGCCCTCGCCCTCATCCTCCGAATCGGAATACTCGTTCTCGGGAACTATGCGCTTGTCCTTGTCGCTCTGCGGCAGGCGATCGTCCTTATCGACCTTGTCCTCATCGTCAGACTCATCGTTGATGGCGTCCTCGGGAATCGCCTGGATCTGAACGCCCGGGGCATGAGGCAGCATGCGCAGGTTCTCAAACAGTCGGTTCTTGATCTTCTCCAGGTACTCGGACGTATTCTGATTTGTCATGTTACTGGGACTAATGTGCAGCTTGAAGTCGGGACCAAAGTACTCGAAGTAGTCGTTGTAGGGCAGTTCGTTGGCGATTTCCACGGCCAGGGCCACAGAGGTCTCGTAGGTCCAGCAGCGGGAAACGTTACGAATGGTATATCCGCCACCGCCGACCATCAGGAATGGCAGGTTATACTTCTTCACGAACTCCACGCACTTGCCGTGACCCTTGACCGTGAGATTGAAGCAACCTAACCGATCGCCAGTCAGTGAATCGGCACCACATTGCAGCACCACCGCTGCCGGTTGGAATGTTTCCATCACCTTGCTGATAATAGGCACAAATATGCTCTCGTACGCATCATCATCCATGCCATCACGCAGGGGTATATTCACCGCATAGTACTTTCCCTTGCCAGCACCGATGTCTCGCAGATCGCCGGTGCCTGGGAAATACTCTCCGTACTTGTGGAAGCTCACTGTCATGACACGATCGGTGGTATAGAAGGCCTCCTCCACGCCATCGCCGTGATGGACGTCTATATCTATGTAGAGAACACGCTGGTGGTACTTAAGCAGCTCGAGGATTCCAAGGACAATATCGTTGACGTAGCAAAAGCCGGAGGCCTCCGATTTCTTGGCATGATGCAGGCCACCGCCCCAGTTGATGCAGATCTCCGAGGCCTGTTTGTTCAGCTTTACGGCTGCAGCCACGGATCCTCCGGCGGAGAGTTGGCAAAACTCGTAGAGTCCGTCGAATACGGGGCAATCTTCGCCCACATTGAAGCGCTGCATCTGCTTGTTGTACTCGGACATGTTGTCTGGCCTAATGGATCGCAGGAACCGGACGTACTCGTCCGAGTGGAACTTGGTCATCTCATCGGCAGTGGCTTTGTGGGGACGCTGGAATAAGGAATTTTGATTTTAATAAGCTATAAGTTTAACATTTAACTTTTTAAGGCTTTAAGGTCAAATAAAATTTGTAAAAACATGTTGAGTATAATATATTTTCAAAGAATTCGACTATCTTTGCTCCTATATAGAATAGTAACTTACGTAAATCTCCATTTTGCGATATAGCCCATAGTTGAGCAGCAGGTTGTGGGTCATACGTATGCGGTGGGGCTTCATGGGATGACCCTGGCCATAGTAGTAGTTGCCAATGTCACCTGGGGATCAAAAATAACGATAAGTGTCAACTTGAGAAAACAATTAATTGCCACGCTATGTGGAATACAAATTTTACGGCCACTGTCGGCGAGGCGTCTGTGAGAGAGCGTCACTTTTCCCGAACGACCGCAGCGGTCGCACTTTCGCCCCGAACGAAAAGCAACAAAAACACAAAGAGGAGGAAGAGAGAGACCTACAGGTACATACACGCACACGCACACAGCCGCACTGCGGTCGTTTCGGAAAAGTGCGCTGTGGACCGGAACGCGCTCGTACAGTCGCCGTAAAACTTGAAATTTGCAAAAATGCTATCATCTGATGTTGAGCGGATGCGAAAAAAACACAAAGTTGGCGTGGAAAACAAGGTTGCTACTTTGCAATCTTGAAATCTCTGCTTAGTAGGCCTTTTACTTAATTAAATCATTTTATACTTACTGTCGTAGTAGTAACAAACGCGTTTTTTGCTGTGAGACTGCATTTTTCGGCGCTGTCGGCGGTTTTAAATCTCCTTCAAATCGAAGTTTGCCGGTTCCTGGAACCTTGTTTGCTGATCGGGAGCTGCCCGAATATCTAGGAGATATTAAAAATTGGCGCCGCTCCGATTCTTGGCAATTCGGCGGACAAAAAATAAAATTTACAACTTCTAGAGATGACAGCGAACGGGGTGGCCCTCCGCGAACTAGTTCGATTTTCATGGGCAGCCCTGCGATTGGTTTTAAAATTTTTGGAGCTTAAACTTTTATTTTTTATTTTAAGATATTGTAACAAAAAAATGAATAGACCGATTTAATAAAAAATATAATATTTGTTAATATTGTACTCATATGTTACAGAGTTACCGTGACTCTTTATAATTAGGTGACAGCTCTAGTTTTCATCGATGGAAAAATATGAAAACCCTTAACACAAATAAAAGGAGATACAATGACAAAAGACGCAATGCTCAGTACGTTCCCGCAGTTTTTCCCAAAACAAAACAAAATTTGACCCGAAAAAATTAAAATTGGCGGCCCTGGTTTGTGAAGCGCCACAGCGGCCGAAACGGGAACCCCAAGGCATCGAAAAGCATCGAGTACTTGTGTTTCGCCACCACCTGGCAACCCTGAAAGTTCTAACTGTGTGTGTGTGTGTGCGACGTCGGTTTTTTCGTCGTCGCGATTTTTTTAAAATAAACTGGAGGCATTCGCAAATAATTTAAGTCTAATTGATCAGGAATTTGTGCATAATGTCGGTTGTGATATCGAGCTGTTCGTGAAGAAGCGACTGAGTAGTGGGTAAGAATAGTGCCGAGTGCTCAGAAAAGAACAATTTAGAACTTTTTGCCACGAGAATATCAAGTGCGTAGGTGTGTGTCAGTGTTTTGGGGCGAGTGTATGTGTATGTGTGTGTGTCTGTTGTGGTCTCCGAGTGTGAGGGAGATGGGATGTAAGCCCCCCCCCCCCCTCCCCTCTCTCCAACCAAATACATAGACTTGTAACCAAGTCCCGTTACAACAATGGTAATACGGAAATGTGCAACAGAGAAAAACAGCAAGCAACAACAATAACGAGAAGTAGTACGAGTTTTGTGGGCCTTTCGTGCAGATATTACCAGTTTTCCCCCTCCCCTCCCCCCCCCCCCCTCTTTTTCTGCACAACTTCGAGTTTTCCCAGCTGCGCCACTGCAAAAAAAACAACAAAAACAATTTTCCGCATTGCAGTTGCGCCAACTAACACCGATTTTTTTTGGGGCTTCGTGCTTTTGCGCTCTTTTTGCATTCAACTCGCGTTTAATAAACAATTAATCGCCGAGCAATAAACAACAATCGCAAGCGGCGCATAGAAATTTAAAGCTTTTTCAAAATATTACACCATTGTTACATAATATATAGTTTTCAAGTCGTGCTTCGGGCTTGTTTTGCTGTGCTTGTTGACCCTCTTCTTGAGGTCGTTTCTTCTGCTTCCTCTTCTAAGCGAGAATTCCCAACAACCTGTTAGATGATCGGGTCTAATTGGCTGTTTTTGTAACTACGTTTATGCGGGATTGTAGAACTCGAAAATAAAATTTTAACAAAGGTATTGTGTTGAAATACGAGAATAAACCATATAGTGATTCTAGTGGTTTTGTATTCTATATTCAGAGTTAAAGGATTACATCTTCAGTGGTTATTAATATCATCGATTTCTTAAAAGTTTTCCTTTGAAAACAGTCACGTTCATGTTACGTATAATACCAAAACTAAATAACTACTAAAACTTAAGAATTGAAACCTAAAATTTAAAGAAGGTTTAAAAATGTTCAAAGTTATTATTTTAAAAGATATAATAGTCGTTTTGTTCATAATTATTCTCTACTTTTATTCTTGATTATAACCCAGATTTAGATGATATTGTGATTAGAATGCTTATAAGTAAATGATTAGTTTTTTTTTTAATTTGTGTAATCTATTCATAACCAGTTGCAACTGTTTTCTAAGCTCTCAAATGTTTTCGTCTGTTTTGGTGTCCGAAATGTGTGTGTTTATCAGGAGTGTTTTCAATTCCCCCAATTAGCGTTAATAGAATTCCCGTATAACCGACTCATCACAAATGCACACACTGGCACGATCGATATTGATCAATAGTTTGTTCACCTTCTCCCTTCCCTCTTCCACAGCGTTCTGCTCTTTCCACCTGTGGGCAATTACCGCCGTTATCTCATCCACCAAACATGTGAAAAATACCGCCATCAGTACGATCTGTTCACCTTCTCAGTGGGCCAAGGGCCGCAGCGCCGCACCGTCCTGTGCTTTCGCAATCAACTCCTTGATCCCAACGGCTTTGAGGCGTAAGTATTGAATTGTATTTTAGGTTTTTGAGGTATCTCTATCGAGATCCATAAAAATAACTTTTACCTGCGAATATGGCAAGATACTATATAATGCTATTCAGCAATATTTTTTCATATAAGGTATTCATACTATATTTTGTTGATAAGTAAAATAGCTTAAAGCAATGCGAGTTGAATAAGTATAAACAACAACCCGGGTTCAATACCCACCGCTACCAAATAATAAACTTTACCCAGAGAACTTATAAAAATCAGTCCTTTATTTCAATTAAATATTATAATATTTAACCTGGTATCTATTTTTAAATTAAGCAGATAAGTCAAATGGATCATAAAATACTCTAAACTTTTTTTTTGTAAAAAAAACAACAATTTTTTTGATCTTATAATTAGTTTTATAACCTCTAGCTATCCAAACTTTTGAAATGTAGCTTATCGTAGATTTATTACATTTGTAAAATATTAATTATTCACAGCCGCAAGCAGCAGCAACAGCAGACGCGTGGGCGGGACAAAGATAGAGAGGCAGCGAAGAGCTGGCGGAGCAACAACAATTCTCACACGAACGGCAGAAGCAGCAGCGCCAGCAGAAGAAACTTAACGGAGCTCTGTAAGATGGGCGTTAAGAAGCATATCAGCGAAACACCATGTGAGTAAATAATACCAATAACTTCACTAACCAAATAAACAAAGGCAAACGCTGCTTTTTTAATGATATTTTGGTTCGAACTGTTTCGGCTTTTTTGTTTAGCAAGCGGCCATAAATTTAAATGTTTGCAAATACGCAAAAGATGCGAAACAAAGAAATCGAAATATTAATGAGGTTCGGTGAATGACACGAACTGAAGAATACTCTTGTAAACGTATAACATGAAAACTAATAAGCTAATATATTTTCGAAATAATTGTTCGGAAGATTTTATAAATATTCGTATTAACCTGCTTGAAATGAAAGATTGTTTCATTTAAAATATAATAAATGTAAGAAATAAAAAAATAGTATTCTTGCGTAACATCTTTTAACCGAAATCCGAGTTCAAGTACCACCACTGCTCAATTTATTTTTGAATTACTACATAACTTTTTAATTTCAAAAGCAGCGCTATTATATCCAATTATACTTCGATTGTTGTTATAATATCTCTATAGTAACTAAAAATTTAAATATATTTAAAAATTATTTGCTCAGGAAAACAGTTATTAAATTAAGAAAGGTGAATTGGTTGATTGCTTTTTTTTAATTATTTTTTTTTAATACCCCCTCCAATTAGAAGTAATGACTACTCTCCAGCCTAGCGTATAATAAATATGATATTTAACTAAAAATAACCAGATGCCAGCTGAGCGACGCAGGCAGCGACGTCGGCAGCGTTGTTTCTTCAAGGTCGCCCTCTTTCTCGAGCGGATTTTTGGTGCTGTTGCATCACAGCACTTCACTCCACTTGGCTTCGCACAGGTAGACTAGACGCTCAGCTGGTCGACGGCTGCGCACGCTCACTAGTGCTGCCCCGCCCCCTGGGTCGCCCCCCCTCCCTTTCCACCTGGGATCCACCACCTGCCAAGTTCGTGTTGACATTCACGAATATCGGGGCATAAAGCGGGCCGTGGAAAATTGGGTCGACATAAGTGAATTTTGTTTTTAATTTATTTTATGCCGAATCCGTTGCTTCACCTTAGTCTCTATTTTTTTCGGTTTGTTTTGTGCATTTGCCAACTGTTGTTGCTAATCGTCTGCCTACCTCTCTCATTTGGCTATCTTTCTATCTTATAGATACATTTGTATATTTTAAATCATCTCACAGATGGTATCTCTGAGTATTTTAATTAATCCCACTGTAAAGTCGTTCGTATCTTTTATCTTTATCTCCAAGTATCTCATGGTTGGTATCTTCTGTATCTTTCAGTAAGCAAATCGAACTCGGTGGATTTATACAGACCGCCAGCCCTGAGGAACAACCATAGCAATAACAACAACAGCAGCAGCGAGGAAGCAGCTGCAGCGAACGAAGCAATAGTAACATCATTAGCTGCAGGAACAGCAACCACTGCAACTACAAGTCCTACCTCTAAGGAATCCCCGAACAGGTAGGTGCAATACAGTGGAACCTCGATTTAACAAACGAGGTATAAGCAATACTAGTAGTTGACTTAGACTATTATATTATTTCGATACAGGGTACTACTCCAAAAAAGAATAATACAATATAAATTTTTAACGAATTAAATATGTAAGGAATTTGTATTAACTCGAAATTGTTGCCATTTTAAACATTTTAAACTAGTTACAGCGGTTTTAACAAAGGTTCAAAAATATTTTTGGAATAATAGTTTAAAATGTTTCAAAGAATTTTTGATTAAAACCTACATAGTTTTGTGTGCTTTAAGTACCCCAGAGGTTTATAATCATGGAAGCTCTACTGTATCTGTATCTCAGAAACTGACGAAATTCTGTCGTGAGCTAATCCATTACCTTTTTCTCTTCTCTTCCCTTTCTTATTACCTGTGTGTTTTGCTCTGCTGTTTCGCAGAGAGCAACAGGCGGACGCCTCAGCAGCGGCGACCCGTCGCGAACGCCGTCCCGATCGCTTGGTTTATGTGCCAAGGGCACGTCGCAGTCAAACTACACCACCGACCACAACAACAACGACAGCAGTAGCAGCAGCAGCAACAGCGGTTGCAACAACAGCAACAGCACCACCAACGGCCACAGCAACAATTACAGCAACGGAATCTCCGCCAGTTGCAGATACAAACCCGAGCAAAGCGGACGACGCCAACGGTCAGCAGCAGTTGTCCAAATCGAAGAAATCCAAGTCACATCGCGAGCGCAGAGAACGCGGAAAGAAATCAACAGCTGTATCTGCATCTACAACAGCTACAACAGATAACGCCACCGTACTCGTTATATCAGCAACTGAAAATTATACTCAATCAAACGAAGAGAACCGTCAGGCCAAGCCAGCGGACTGTGATAAGGAGGTATAGTAATACTTTAACTTTTAAAAATGAGAGGATCTGAGAGGAAATTGTATTCAATTCGGAATATATAGCTTTTTCCTCTTTAATTATAATAGGGTTTTAATGAAATAAGTACTCTTCATAACAGTTTTAATCAAATTAAGTATACAACCTGTTTTTAGTTTTCTTTGATATTTTAAAAAAGGTATCTATGAGTTGTACTCAGTTTAATAGAATGGCCTACAAAATGACAATCTACTTTTAAAATTTGCGTCACTAATCTTAGCCAGTTAATGTTTTCTATGTATGTTGAGATTGTCATTATTCAAGGTTTTTGATTTCAGTTAGTAAAGGGCTTTAACAATAATTACATACTGAAACTCTGACCTTGCCGTTCTAATCGAAACATTATCCCCCACAGATCATGAGCGGTGCCCAGCGTACAAAGCCAGCCGGCAATGGCAACAAATCAGCCAGCAATGGCAAAACCCAGCCATCGCCGCCATTGCGCATCGAGGATGCGGTGGTGGCCAGGACCACCAACGGCGAGGAGGCGGCCAAATGTGATAACGATGTGCGCGAATTGCAGCGAGCCTCAAAGGTGAGTTATAACCCTAATGAAATGATAAACAAAATTAACTATTCTGCATACCATTGCAGGAAATCAACCGCAGCAATCGTCGCATCATGAAACAAACCTTCAACTCAGATGTACTAGAGATTCCTGAGAAGATCGAGACATCAGCACCTAAGGCAATCCAATCTCCTCAAGCATTGGCCACAGCGAAACCACCTGCAGACAGCACCACCGAAGATGATGACGAGGAGGACGAGGACGACTGGGAGAACATGTTCGACGAGAGCGGTGACTGCCTGGATCCCAAGATACTCCAAGAACTGAGCGAATCCGTGGGCAAGTGCAAAATAGAGCTGCCCAAAATGGACTACACAGTGAGTTGAATGAAAGGCTTAAAAGTAAAATCAATTGATATACTAGTTTTTTGTGATACCCCCAGGTTTTTCACATCAAGCAACAACTGCTTAACGAAGAGGAGTTTCCACACGTTCTGGAGGTCTCCAATTTCCCTGTGGAATTCAAAACTCCCGACCTGCTTATGCTTTTCGCCCAGTACAAGGGCAGTGGCTTCGACATCAAATGGGTGGACGATACTCATGCCCTGGCTGTGTTTAGCAGTTCCCGCATCGGTAAGTGTGTTTATGATTTCAATCGGAGATTGGTTTTGTAATGAAATTGTATGTTTGTCGCACAGCTGCTGAGGTACTGACGATGGGACATCCGTTTGTCAAGTTGAAGCCACTGGCAGAGGCCACTCTGGAGTCACGACTGAAGGCAAAGAAGGCCGGTGCCGTATCGTTGCAGCCGTATCGCCAGCGACCGGAAACGTGCACGGCCTTGGCCCGGCGACTGGTGTCCGGTGCATTGGGGGTCAAACTGCCCACGGCGCCGCAGGAGCGGGAGAACGAGAGGCGGGTACTACGCGAAGCCAAAGGTGAGTGCGAGTTCGGCGTTTCGATCTAGCTAGTAAACTGGGTTTGGGATTTGAGTGAGTGTGATTTTTGAAGCATTCTGGTTTCTTAACTTATTCTTTTTTCAAATGTCACCCACAGAACGCAAACTGTTAGCTGCCAAACAGCGGGACGAAGTCTGGGAGAGCTAGACCACGGATCCGGAAGCAGGCTAGGTGCATTTTTTCTCAACTCATCAACAATAAGTGCGATGCGTCAGCACAACCACAACATGAAGATCAACAACAACAACAAACACTACCAACCATTAAATCCCACTACAAAAAATTTTCTCAATCAAAGCTAGCAAAATAAATGCGTAACTTGCATGCTAAGCAATGTTCGCTTTAAATGTTCGCTTTTTGTGCAATTAACACCAGATTTTTGCTCAATTTGTTGTAGTTTTTAGTGGATGCATGATAATGATTATATCATCTAGGCCGTAAGAGAGAAATATCTATATTTATTGGTCGTAGCAAGTAAACATGCATAGATACGTGTTGTTTTAACTCCAGGCGTAAACCTTAATTTTTAAGCGCGAGCAATTTATATATTGATATATATATTTTAATAAAGTTTATAGCGTAAGTAAAACGAAAATAGTGTATTTTTGACTATAAATGAAAGAAGATTGGGGATATAATTGTGAAATCAAACAATTTTGTTATTAATTTAAAGTAAAGGTCCCTAGGTCGATGTTCCTATCGGTATAGTTGGCTGGTACTACTAGCGCTTATATGATCTTAAATCCACTTGTAAACAATTAAAATTTTAAAATATTTGTTTGTACCCCTAATTATAAAATTTTTTTTGTTTAATAGTTAAAAAAAAAAATTAGAATAATTTTTGAAACTGCATGTATGTTGGCAACGCTTTAACCGTCAGTCGCGGTGTGACCAATGCGGCATGGTGGTATTTTAGCGAGCGACGGTCACGTTTATGCCGGCAGAGAAATTTGTTATTAAAACAAAAGAGTTAATTATAGCGCTTAAAAGGTAACAGCTGTGCGTTCGTGTGTTTGTTCAATGCAAGTTTAATTGTTATTTAACTTAAAATAAATATTAAGAGAGCTAGTGTATCGCATAGGCATTGAAATTCCAGTTGTTGCTTTTGGCAATGATTTTTTGAAGCAGTTACACGCTGACAAGTATTAAATATATTACTAGTGAATGAAATTGATAAGCTTATCTTTACGGAAGCGCAGCAACAATAAGGGTTTTACCAAAATCAATTGAAGTTCTGGCAATTGAAATAGAATTTTTTGACTGCGTGGCTTCTAGTTGTGGGCGTGTTCGCATTTTTGGGTATGTGAGTACAGTGGTCTCCGGCTAAAATGGATTGGGTGAAGGTTTAGTGCATTTAGAAGTCTTTATGTCACCTTCAAATCTGATTTTTAAAGGAACATATTACCATTTTCATGAAATTATCACTGAAATTTATCTTGGGATTTTTTTATTTAAAAGTATAAAAAATGTAATATTGAAATTTCTATAAAAAAGGAAAATATTTAAGCTTCATAAAATATAGAAAGAATACTAACGTACAATAAAGTGGGCTAACACTATACCCATGTAGTTATAAGTTTATTAATATAAAATCGAAGGGGCGGCTATAATTGCAAAAGTTGCGTGTCATAAATGCCGTATAAAGCGAATCTAATTGAAATATGTACCTACGTGGATTTTGTTTCAGACCAGTCATGAACAAGTACTTATCTGTGCTACTGCTATCCGTGGCAATTGCTGGAGCTGCTAAGCCAGAAGATAATGAATCGTGCTACTCCTTTGCCGGCGGGAACGTTTATCCCGATCAGCCAAAGGGCGACCATCAATTGCAGTACACCAAGGCAGTCAGTGAGTTCCATATAATATACAACCCGTGATCATGATTAACTCTTTATTACCTTCATTTCGACAGTTTCCAAGCCAGCCCCACAGTTCGAGGGAACCGCTGTGGTTAACAAGGAGATTGTGAAGCTATCGCTGTCCCAGTATCTGGGGAAGTATGTGGTGCTACTCTTCTACCCACTGGACTTGTACGTATACCTAATTTGGAAAGCGGCTGTTCTTTCTATTCTATCCTATCTTTTTCTCTATCAAGTACTTACATTTCTCTTTTCCGTTTCAGCACCTTTGTCTGCCCCACAGAGATCATAGCCTTCTCCGATCGCATTTCCGAGTTCAAGAAGATCAAAACGGAAGTGATTGGGGTCAGTGTGGACTCGCACTTCACCCATTTGGCTTGGATCAACACGCCGCGCAAGGAGGGAGGTCTGGGCAACGTCAAGATTCCACTGCTCTCCGATCTGACGCACAAGATCAGCAAGGACTACGGAGTCTATCTGGAGTCCAGTGGACATGCCCTGCGCGGTCTCTTTATCATCGATCAAACCGGAGTTCTGCGCCAGATCACCATGAACGATCTGCCAGTGGGACGATCTGTAGATGAGACTATTCGACTGGTTCAGGCCTTCCAGTACACGGATACCCATGGAGAGGTGTGCCCAGCGGGTTGGAAGCCAGGTGCCGATACGGTAGGTTTGAATGATATACATTATAATAAAATCCTTTAAAAAGTATTAAATAAGTGGATTAGTTTCCAAGTAAACTGCTATGGATTAAAATTTCTTCTAATAAAATACCTAAAATCAACCTTTCTATTACTTTTCCAGATCGTACCGAACCCAGAGGAGAAAACCAAGTATTTTGCCAAGAACAACTAAGGACAGATGACCATCCCATTAGCATCCAAGCCCAGTTCATTCCAAGAGTTCACGACTGAATCACGACTAAATCGAACAATAGACCCCCATCGCTTGAGTCCGCTGTACAAAGTCCGTAATGCCACCGATTGCAAATGGTTTGCATTTGTTTTGTAAAAAATGTAGTTTGTTTATTTTACAGCATAACTGAGAGATAAATAAATTGATGAAGTACAGGTTTAAGTAATTCAAATTTCGTGGCGCCACAGGAGATCGACCAAAAGGATTGATCTCGAAGTGTCTTGAAAGCTGCCTTGTGTGGCCACCATAATGATTTGTTAATCAATTCGATTGCGATTAGTTTCATTCAAAAATATATGAATATATGTTGTAGGTAATAGTAAATTAGTTAGGTACGTCATGGCTTGCAGTTACGTAATCCTGTGCTGAAACCTTTGGGTATAACAAAACTAAGTATGTTGCATCTGGGTGCATTCCTAGGTATATGTTCCAGGTGCATTAAAAAAGAGTGCGTGCGGAATGTGTCTAGTTTGTTGCATCTGGGTGCATTCCTAGGTGCATCAGGGTGCATTCCTAGGTGCATCAGGGTGCATTCCTTGGTGCATCTGGGTGCATTCCTAGGCGCTTCTGGGTTGCATCTGGGTGCATTCCTAGGTACATGTTCCAGGTGCATTAAAAAAGAGTGAATTTTCGCCAAGCATGGAAAATACAGAACCCGAGAACAAAATACTACTTTCGATCACGAATTTTCAAGACCGAAAATACTAGATTTAATAACATTTCGGTCTTCAATCAAGTATGAATAATTCTTAAATTAAGTCATATTTGGGCTAAAAGCAAGAACGATTTAATAACAAAGTATGAAAGTTGCAGGCATGATTTAAGGTCGAATAATTATGAAATTAAATGAGTTTTTATTTTATTATAGTAAGAGAAATAAGTAATGGAAACTGAAACGAAATAAACGTGATATATGTAAATAATATTAATACTTTAAGTTTACGTAAGTAAACTAAGTAAGTAAGTAAATGCCGCTCACGGGCATTAACACTGTCTAGTTTATGCGCCTTATATACCGAGTACTTTTAGAATAAATAGTTGGGAATTATTAGAGTTTGCACCCCTTACAAAATCGGAATCCTATTTTTTCGCCCTCAAAATTCGCTTTTTGGCTGCTATAAATAAACTAAACGTCAGACTGAGGAATGTCATACCTCGTTGAGCTCGTTGCTTAATTTCCAATTCATAAGCATTCAAACCTGAAAATGTTTAACTTTTCGCATTTTTCGCAAAAAAAGACGATGCACCCCTTCCAAAAAATGCGAAAACTGGTCAAAAAATAAATTTTCCTTAAAGTGATTGGGATTGTTAGCATATTTAGCAAGCTGCTCAAAACAGTCGGTCTTTTAGCTGTTCGCCTTGATTTGAGCAAACTACGATTGAAAAAATGGAAAGAAAAATCACATTTTTGACTAAAATCTGAATCTCGTATTTTTGACTAAAATCGGAACTCCATTTTTCGCCCTAAAAATCCAGTTTTTTGTCTGCTACAAAAAAAGTAAACGTCAGATCGAGGAATGTCATACCTCGTTGAGCTCGTTGCTTAATTTCCAATCCATTGGCATTCAAACCTGAAAATGTTTAACTTTTCGCATTTTTCGCAAAAAAAGACGATGCACCCCCTTACAAAAAATGCGAAAACTGGTCAAAAAATAAATTTTCCTTAAAGTGATTGGAATCATTAGCATATTAAGCAAGCTGTTCAAAACAGTCGGTTTTTTAGCTCTACGACTTGATTTGGCTGAACTACGATTGAAAACCTGGAAAGAAAAATCGCATTTTTGACTAAAATCTGAATCTCGTATTTTTGACTAAAATCGGAACTCCATTTTTCGCCCTAAAAATCCAGTTTTTTGGCTGCTACAAAAAAAGTAAACGTCAGATCGAGGAATGTCATACCTCGTTGAGCTCGTTGCTTAATTTCCAACCCATTGGCATCCGAACCTGGCAGTTTTTAATTTTTGACATTTTTCGCAAAAAAGACGATGCACCCCTTACAAAAAATGCGAAAACTGGTCAAAAAATAAATTTTCCCTAAAGTGATTGAAATCATTAGCATGTTAAGCAAGCTGCTCAAAACTGTCGGTCTTTTAGCGGTACGCCTTGATTTGACTAAACTACGACTGAAAGACTGGAATGAAAAATTATATTTTTGACTAAAATCTAAATCTCGTATTTTTGACCAAAATCGGAATCCTATTTTTTCGTCCTCAAAACACCTAGGGTTGCACCCAGATGTACCTAGGGTTGCACCCAGATACACCTAGGATGCAACCTAGATGTACGTAGGGTTGCACCCAAATGTACCTAGGGTTGCACCCAAAGGTACCTAGGGTTGCACCCAAAGGTACCTAGGGTTGCACCCAGTTATACCTAGGGTTGCACCCAGATGTACCTAGCAAAATCGGAATCCTATTTTTTCGCCCTCAAAAGTCGCTTTTTGGCTGCTATAAAAAAACTAAACGTCAGACTGAGGTATGTCATACCTCGTTTAGCTCGTTGCTTAATTTCCAATCCATTGGCATTCAAACCTGAAAATGTTTAACTTTTCGCATTTTTCGCAAAAAAAGACGATGCACTCCCTTACAAAAAATGCGAAAACTGGTCAAAAAATAAATTTTCCTTAAAGTGATTGGAATCATTAGCATATTAAGCAAGCTGTTCAAAACAGTCGGTTTTTTAGCTCTACGACTTGATTTGGCTGAACTACGATTGAAAAACTGGAAAGAAAAATCGCATTTTTGACTAAAATCTGAATCTCGTATTTTTGACTAAAATCGGAACTCCATTTTTCGCCCTAAAAATCCAGTTTTTTGACTGCTACAAAAAAAGGAAACGTCAGATCGAGGAATGTCATACCTCGTTGAGCTCGTTGCTTAATTTCCAATCCATTGGCATCCAAACCTGAAAATTTTTAATTTTTGACATTTTTCGCAAAAAAAGACGATGCACCCCTTACAAAAAATGCGAAAACTGGTCAAAAAATAAATTTTCCTTAAAGTGAATCATTAGCATATTAAGCAAGCTGTTCAAAACAGTCGGTTTTTTAGCTCTACGACTTGATTTGGCTGAACTACGATTGAAAAACTGGAAAGAAAAATCGCATTTTTGACTAAAATCTGAATCTCGTATTTTTGACCAAAATCGGAATCCTATTTTTTCGTCCTCAAAACACCTAGGGTTGCACCCAGATGTACCTAGGGTTGCACCCAGATACACCTAGGATGCAACCCAGATGTACGTAGGGTTGCACCCAAATGTACCTAGGGTTGCACCCAAAGGTACCTAGGGTTGCACCCAGTTATACCTAGGGTTGCACCCAGATGTACCTAGCAAAATCGGAGTCCTATTTTTTCGCCCTCAAAAGTCGCTTTTTGGCTGCTATAAAAAAACTAAACGTCAGACTGAGGTATGTCATACCTCGTTTAGCTCGTTGCTTAATTTCCAATCCATTGGCATTCAAACCTGAAAATGTTTAACTTTTCGCATTTTTCGCAAAAAAAGACGATGCACCCCTTCCAAAAAATGCGAAAACTGGTCAAAAAATAAATGTTCCTTAAAGTGATTGGAATCATTAGCATATTAAGCAAGCTGTTCAAAACAGTCGGTTTTTTAGCTCTACGACTTGATTTGGCTGAACTACGATTGAAAAACTGGAAAGAAAAATCGCATTTTTGACTAAAATCTGAATCTCGTATTTTTTACTAAAATCGGAACTCCATTTTTCGCCCTAAAAATCCAGTTTTTTGACTGCTACAAAAAAAGGAAACGTCAGATCGAGGAATGTCATACCTCGTTGAGCTCGTTGCTTAATTTCCAATCCATTGGCATCCAAACCTGGAAATTTTTAATTTTTGACATTTTTCGCAAAAAAGGACGATTTACCCCCTTACAAAAAATGCGAAAACTGGTCAAAAAATAAATTTTCCTTAAAGTGATTGGAATCATTAGCATATTAAGCAAGCTGTTCAAAACAGTCGGTCTTTTAGCTGTACGCCTTGATTTGACCAAACTACGATTGAAAAACTGGAAAGAAAAATCGAATTTTTGACTAAAATCTGAATCTCGTATTTTTGATTAAAATCGGAACTCCATTTTTCGCCCTAAAAATCCAGTTTTTTGGCTGCTTCAAAAAAAGTAAACGTCAGATCGAGGAATGTCTTACCTCGTTGAGCTCGTTGCTTAATTTCCAATCCATTGGCATCCCAACATGGGAATTTTTTATTTTTGACATTTTTCGCAAAAAAGGACGATGCACCCCTTACAAAAAATGCGAAAACTGGTCAAAAAATAAATTTTCCTTAAAGTGATTGGAATCATTAGCATGTTAAGCAAGCTGCTCAAAACTGTCGGTCTTTTAGCGGTACGCCTTGATTTGAGTAAACTACGACTGAAAGACTGGAATGAAAAATTGTATTTTTGACTAAAATCTGAATCTCGTATTTTTGACCAAAATCGGAATCCTATTTTTTCGTCCTCAAAACACCTAGGGTTGCACCCAGATTTACCTAGGGTTGCACCCAGATACACCTAGGATGCAACCCAGATGTACGTAGGGTTGCACCCAAATGTACCTAGGGTTGCACCCAAAGGTACCTAGGGTTGCACCCAAAGGTACCTAGGGTTGCACCCAGTTATACCTAGGGTTGCACCCAGATGTACCTAGCAAAATCGGAATCCTATTTTTTCGCCCTCAAAAGTCGCTTTTTGGCTGCTATAAAAAAACTAAACGTCAGACTGAGGTATGTCATACCTCGTTTAGCTCGTTGCTTAATTTCCAATCCATTGGCATTCAAACCTGAAAATGTTTAACTTTTCGCATTTTTCGCAAAAAAAGACGATGCACCCCCTTACAAAAAATGCGAAAACTGGTCAAAAAATAAATTTTCCTTAAAGTGATTGGAATCATTAGCATATTAAGCAAGCTGTTCAAAACAGTCGGTTTTTTAGCTCTACGACTTGATTTGGCTGAACTACGATTGAAAAACTGGAAAGAAAAATCGCATTTTTGACTAAAATCTGAATCTCGTATTTTTGACCAAAATCGGAATCCTATTTTTTCGTCCTCAAAACACCTAGGGTTGCACCCAGATGTACCTAGGGTTGCACCCAGATACACCTAGGATGCAACCCATTTGTACGTAGGGTTGCACCCAAATGTACCTAGGGTTGCACCCAAAGGTACCTAGGGTTGCACCCAAAGGTACCTAGGGTTGCACCCAGTTATACCTAGGGTTGCACCCAGATGTACCTAGCAAAATCGGATCGCAAAAAAAGACGATGCACCCCCTTACAAAAAATGCGAAAACTGGTCAAAAAATAAATTTTCCTTAAAGTGATTGGAATCATTAGCATATTAAGCAAGCTGTTCAAAACAGTCGGTCTTTTAGCTGTACGCCTTGATTTGACCAAACTACGATTGAAAAACTGGAAAGAACACCCCCTTACAAAAAATGCGAAAACTGGTCAAAAAATAAATTTTCCTTAAAGTGATTGGAATCATTAGCATATTAAGCAAGCTGTTCAAAACAGTCGGTTTTTTAGCTCTACGACTTGATTTGGCTGAACTACGATTGAAAAACTGGAAAGAAAAATCGAATTTTTGACTAAAATCTGAATCTCGTATTTTTGACTAAAATCGGAACTCCATTTTTCGCCCTAAAAATCCAGTTTTTTGGCTGCTTCAAAAAAAGTAAACGTCAGATCGAGGAATGTCATACCTCGTTTAGCTCGTTGCTTAATTTCCAATCCATTGGCATCCAAACCTGGGAATTTTTTATTTTTGACATTTTTCGCAAAAAAGGACGATGCACCCCCTTACAAAAAATGCGAAAACTGGTCCAAAAATAAATTTTCCTTAAAGTGAATCATTAGCATATTAAGCAAGCTGTTCAAAACAGTCGGTTTTTTAGCTCTACGACTTGATTTGGCTGAACTACGATTGAAAAACTGGAAAGAAAAATCGCATTTTTGACTAAAATCTGAATCTCGTATTTTTGACTAAAATCGGAACTCCATTTTTCGCCCTAAAAATCCAGTTTTTTGGCTGCTACAAAAAAAGTAAACGTCAGATCGAGGAATGTCATACCTCGTTGAGCTCGTTGCTTAATTTCCAATCCATTGGCATCCAAACCTGGGAATTTTTAATTTTTGACATTTTTCGCAAAAAAGGACGATTTACCCCCTTACAAAAAATGCGAAAACTGGTCAAAAAATAAATTTTCCTTAAAGTGATTGGAATCATTAGCATATTAAGCAAGCTGTTCAAAGCAGTCGGTCTTTTAGCTGTACGCCTTGATTTGACCAAACTACGATTGAAAAACTGGGAAGAAAAATCGAATTTTTGACTAAAATCTGAATCTCGTATTTTTGACTAAAATCGGAATTCCATTTTTCGCCCTAAAAATCCAGTTTTTTGGCTGCTACAAAAAAAGTAAACGTCAGATCGAGGAATGTCATACCTCGTTTAGCTCGTTGCCTTATTTCCAATTCATTGGCATTCAAACCTGAAAATTTTTAACTTTTCGCATTTTTCGAAAAAAAAGACGATGCACCCCCTTACAAAAAATGCGAAAACTGGTCAAAAAATAAATTTTCCTTAAAGTGATTGGAATCATTAGCAATTAAGCAAGCTGTTCAAAACAGTCGGTCTTTTAGCTGTACGCCTTGATTTGACCAAACTACGACTGAAAAACTGGAAAGAAAAATCGAATTTTTGACTAAAATCTGAATCTCGTATTTTTGACTAAAATCGGAACTCCATTTTTCGCCCTAAAAATCCAGTTTTTTGGCTGCTACAAAAAAAGTAAACGTCAGATCGAGGAATGTCATACCTCGTTGAGCTCGTTGCTTAATTTCCAATCCATTGGCATCCTTTCGCAAAAAAAGACGATGCACCCCTTACAAAAAATGCGAAAACTGGTCACAAAAATAAATTTTCCTTTAAGTGATTGGAATCATTAGCATATTAAGCAAGCTGCTCAAAACAGTCGGTTTTTTAGCTCTACGACTTGATTTGGCTGAACTACGATTGAAAAGCTGGAGATCGAAGCTGCGCCAGATCACCATGAACGATCTGCCAGTGGGACGATCTGTAGATGAGACTATTCGACTGGTTCAGGCCTTCCAGTACACGGTTACCCATGGAGAGGTATGTCCAGCGGGTTGAAGGCCAGGTGCCGATACGGTAAGTTTGGATAATATATATTATATTATAATCCTATAAAAAGTAGTACATTAGTGGATTGATTGCCAATTAAACTGCTAGGGATTATACTTACTTCTGATAAAATATAATATATAAAAAAAACCTTCCAATTACTTCTCCAGATCGTTCCCAACCCAGAGGAGAAAACCAAGTATTTTGCCAAGAACAACTAAGGACAGATGGCCATCCCATTAGCAGCCAAGCCCAGTTCGTTCCAAGTGTTCACGACTGAATCACGACTAAATCGAACAAAAGACCCCCATCGCCTGAGTCCTCTGTACCAATGTCCGTAGTGCCACCGATTGCAAATGGTTTGCATTTGTTTTGTAAAAAATATAGTTTGTTTATTTTACAGCATAACTGAGAGATAAATAAATTGATGAAGTACATGTTTAAGTGATTCAAATTTCGTGGCGCCACAGGAGAGCGACCAAAAGGAGGAGATCGCGTTTGATCTCGAAATGTCTTGAAAGCTGCCTTGTGTGGCCACCATAATGATTAACAATTCGATTGCGATTAGTTTCATACAAAAATATATGAATATATGTAATAGGTAATAGTAAATTAGTTAGGTACGCCATGGTTTGCAGTTAAGTAATCCTGTGCACCGACCTTTGGGTACAACAAAGCTAAGTATGTCGAGGTATATAAATCGGGGAAACGGGGACGGGGCGACGACAATAACAACTAGGACGTCATAAGGCACTCGTTCTCGTCGGTTTTCTCGTGTGTAGTCTGTTTTCCGTTGCAATTGTGTGTTGTCAATATGTGCTACATTGTTGTGCGCGTTAAATGCCAAAAACCCAGGCTCATAAAAAACGAAGGTGCAACTGCATTTCAGATCAAAATTGTGCGGGGAGATTCCGTTGCTGTGGAGATTCCAAATCGATCAAAGCGTTGCACTGTTCAGATTCCCGGAAACATTATTTAAATAAGGGGTTAATAAATTCTTAGAGCTATGACGATGCAACACGTCGAACCAAAAAGCAGTCGGCGATAATGTCTGGGTGTTTGTTCATTTATAAATCGATGGATTGACAGCTTACTGCTCGTAGAAGACCACGTCCTGGAAAAAACAGGAAATAGGTCAGTTATATGAAGATCAACAAAGAGCAATGTATGTTTAATATAATTTTCATTGAGTACGATATTGAGTCTCTCTGTTTCTGATCTTTACTGATATACTCACAATTAAAAAGAGCGCTGCGAATACCAGTGCCTTCATGCGAACATCGAGATTCAGGGGGAAGGTGACGCTGAAGTAATCCGCATCGGTGAACAGCTCCCTTCCCAATCCAGACCATTGTTTGCTTATTTTTCCGATCTCCTCATTATTGGCGCTCAATACCTGAAAACGAGTAAAAAAGGCGAGATACGTTAGCGTTTCGCATTAATCGGGACGGAATTCGCACACAACCAGAATTCGCAGTATCGCAATTAATTGACTCGCTCTGGACAGTCAAGCATAGCGACCCATGACGTCACTGTATCGGATTGCAGTTTCTGTAGCTTTATATGTACCACACAGCGGTGTTCAGAGGAATAGCTCTAAAAGTTCGAAACATGTATGGTATAAACTACCTACAAGAAAATGATTAAAAAAAAATTTTTTAAATATCAAAGGATTTTTAAAAAAGTACTCCTAATAATACAATGTTTTCTCTTAGCTATTCAATTTAAAGATACAGTAGTAAAAATTAAAAAAAACCCTTTCAAAATTATTAATAATTTTAAATAAATCATTGCCTAAAGATTTTAAGTATAGGTATATCTAAAAATATTAAGTGACATAATTGTCACCTATAATATATTTTGCGTGGGTGCTAATAAATTTGCCACTTCTGTATGTTTTATACTATAATCTTTGTACTTGTTTGAACGGGGAATTGACCATAACCACTGATGTATGTGTAGCCAATTATAAATTACTTGCAATACTTAAAAAGCAATTAAATGGATTAGGGCCACCAGCAATTGAATGACAATGAAAGCCTGGCTTTTTTTCATTTAGGAATGTCATAAAGTGTTCGATTAAACTGATAAGCCATCTATGCTCCCTCGCATTCAATGCTATTCTGCTGACCGCCGCTGTGTGTGTATACACTTGTTTGAATATGGGAATCAAGATCGAGACACATGAATAACAACTTGTTGGCCGCCGACTGACCTTGAAGTTGGTATCGCTGAAACACTTGATGGGGCAAATGGGTCCCTCGATCTGCAGGACGATGTCGCCGAAGGTGTTCTTGATGTTAAACTTGGGTCGCATGAAGGTGCAGACCTGCTCCACGCTTCCGATGACCTGTCCAGGTGGCGCAGACACCTCCACGGCGTTCATGCAGCTGGGAAAGCAACAGAGGACATCGCATTTGAATGGCCGGTACAGGTGGAGCACCTCGTTCTGGAAATTGTCCAGGATCTTCATCTCGAAGGGACGGGACCGGCCAAGCATGTTGCGGGTGCAGCAGTCGCTCTCCTCGTAGGCGAAGTACACGTTCTGGCCCAGCGAATTCTTCACCTTGAAGCGATTCTTTGACTCAAAGCCGGTGATTAGCTCTAGTTTCTCGATCTTCTGCGACACGAGCAGCTGGTCCAGGGCGGTCAAGTACTCGAGGCCCTGCGGGCAGTTGGGCATGCCCACGGGTATCGACATCCAGTTCTCTGCAACGGGGCGTAGTTCCCGATTAGCTATATATATTTATATGTTGCTTGCTATATATATGCAAGGAAAATTAGCATAGCTACATTAGAGGTCCGGTCATTGGCACTGTGATCGCGGGACGTTTTATTTTAAGTATTTATTTATTGAAAAAAACTATTTAAACGAAATATTTTAAGTTAGTTGTGGACAAATCACTAACATACATTTTAACCATAAACAGAATTAAAGTTGCGAACATTATTAATATACCATTTTCGGTAAGTTATTTTTACAGTCAACAACTTCGTTAATTCATGGACGTATAAAAGAGGATCATTAAAATATTAAATGCTAACAAATTTTTTTATATTTTTTTTTCGCCTATAGAACAAGTAACAAAAACTCGAGTGTTAAAGTCTTGACCGCTGTTGTATGAAAACGCGAAGGCAATTCCGCCTTTTTGCACACTCACACCCAAACACACAGACGCGCGCATCCCACTACGGCCATCTGTGCGATGGAATTCAACAGTGGGACTAATCCATACACATAAATCTATATCTACGCACCAGCTCCGTTGGCATTAATTCCGGGATTCACCGCCTGCGGCTGACGGACCACAGTGTCATCCTGTGGCGCATTCTGCGGCACCACCTTGTACTCGCTCATCTGCATCATCTTTTTGTTTAGCAATTGTTTCTGGATCGGATTCTGGAACGGTTCGAAAAACACTAAACTTTGTAGGACCGTTTGGGCGAACGCCAAAAAATACCGTTGCTGTTGCACAAATGCGAAAAATACTTGTTTCTACTGAGTTGTGTTATATTTATTGAGTATTAAAATACAGAATATCAACAATTTCTTTTATGCAAATTGTTTAGGCAAATATAAATTTATCTTCCCCAAATATATTTCCCAAGACTCATTTATGTAGATTTTGAAAATATTTGTTTTTTAAAAACTGCCGTTGGTATTTTTCAAAGGAGTTTAAGTTTTTTTGTTCCAGTTGGTTATTTAAGGCCCTATGGTCATACCGCTGCCATGATAATTGTGATAAGGGAGCCATAAAAACCTGGGCAGAAAACCCCTGAAACATGCTGCTTGGCAGCCGAATCTCCAGTCAAAATGAGCGAATCTCTTGATAAGACCACCAGCCCGAGCTTGGCCAGTTCCAGGGCCACGCCCTCGCGGGCGGAGGATCCGGATGAGGGGCACGACGTGAGCGACACCTTCTACACGAGTCAGCGAAAGAAGGGCAGCCACGTCTTCCGGGTTCGGCTGGACGCCACAGGATTCACCCTTCAGCGGGAGTCCCCCGGCGGCAGCATTGTCAAGGAGCAGCAGGTGCGGATCTCGGACATTGTGGGTGCCCGCTGCATGCGACCCAAGAAGAGCCGTCGTTTGGCAATGTCAGGAGCGTGTGCCTGCAGTTCCGGCAATCCCAACTCGCCGGCTATCTCGGCTTCCGGCGACCATCATCGCACTGCCACCACGCCAAGTAAATGCAGCACCAACAGCCGGGAGAATCTTCCAACGGATGGCGGCGATGTCAGCGCCTTTCTCTACGTCTTCGCCTATGTCCTGAAGAAAAGGAGCCTCCGTACGGAGTTGCACAGGGAGCGAACTGTGCTTACCCTGCGGTTCAGATCCTTCGACACCTTCGAGGACAACATGAGGGAGGCGGACCGATGGTACAGATCCCTCCGCTGGCAGCTACATCGAACGCTGGAAGAGATCTTCGTGGCGCCCACGGCGGATGATCGACGTCGCCGAGTGCTGGTGCTGCTTAATCCGAAATCTGGTTCCGGCGATGCCCGAGAGGTCTTCAACATGCACGTGACGCCGGTGTTCAACGAGGCCGAGGTCCCCTATGACCTGTATGTGACCAAACATTCCAACTTTGCAATCGAGTTTTTGAGCACAAGGTCCCTGGACGCCTGGTGCTGCGTGGTGGCTGTCGGCGGAGATGGCCTGTTCCACGAGATAGTCAATGGACTGCTGCAGCGCCAGGATTGGGCCCACGTCCTGCCAAATCTGGCACTGGGCATCATTCCCTGTGGTTCCGGTAACGGACTGGCCAGATCCATTGCCCATTGTTACAAGTACGTTGTCTTTTTTGATTCAGTTTTCAGATTCAGTTGAATATACCTTCTCGGTTTTCACCTTCAAGTAGATTATCCCATTTCATTTAAGGTTTAAGCTTAAACTTTCTCAGAATATATTTTGCTTATTTGTTATTCTCTTATTATGTTATTCCTCCTTACAATGGGGGGGAATAACGTCTTTATATTAAGATGACGTCAAACTTGGTAAACGTTTTTCCATATCAGTTCACACCGACATAATCTTTGAGTAATTGCCATAATTTCCGTTAACATGTTAATTACTAATCCTAAAGTATATTGCCATAATTTCCGTTCACCAATAGTTTAAACCATTACTCCCGAGAAATGAGTATAAAACTGATTGGTCATTGATTGGAGTTTTTTTAGACTACCAGACTGTAATACCAAATAAAAACTTATTAATCCTTAACCTTTTCCCTCCAGTGAACCGTACTTCAGCAAGCCAGTGCTGGGAGCCGCTCTCACCGTGATCAGTGGACGCAGTTCACCGATGGATGTGGTCCGCGTGCAGCTGCAGAATCGCTCCCTTTACTCCTTCCTCTCCATCGGCTGGGGTCTGATTTCGGACGTGGACATCGAGAGCGAGCGCATCCGTCTGCTGGGCTACCAACGATTCACCGTCTGGACATTGTATCGTCTGGTGAATCTACGCACCTACAACGGTCGCATCAGTTATTTGCTGACGGAGCACCAGGGTTCCTCGACTCCAAGCCACACTGGTTATGCTGGTCACCACAGAATGCAGAGCAGTCGGAGCTGCAACACGCACATTGACATGCTGAACGGGGCGGCACCCAGCTATCATTCCAGTGCCGAGTACCTGCCGCAGGAGTTTGCGGACGTGATTTCCCTGGAGACGTCCATCAATCAGTCGTTCCGTTCGAGGTGCGACAGCTGGCTGTCGGGGGGATCGCGGCGCAGCTTCTACTATTCCATATCGGAGAGCATCTACCATAGTCTGGCGGATGACAGCGAGTTCACAGGCCTGACGGCCGCCTCGCTGGAGAACAGGCAGCTGAATTACGGACCAGCGAGCGAGCTGCCGGATCTCGAGGAGCCCCTGCCCGAGGATCAGGGATGGTTGGTGGAGGAGGGCGAGTTCGTTATGATGCACGCCGTCTATCAGACGCATCTGGGCATCGACTGCCATTTTGCGCCCAAGGCCCAGTTGAACGACGGCACCATCTATCTGATCCTTATACGCGCCGGCATCAGCCGTCCGCACCTGCTGAGCTTCCTCTACAACATGAGCTCCGGCACCCACCTGCCGGAGGTGAACAACGAGTATGTGAAGGTGCTGCCGGTACGAGCCTTTCGCCTAGAACCACACGACAATCACGGCATCATCACGGTCGATGGGGAGCGGGTCGAGTTCGGACCACTCCAAGCTGAGGTCCTGCCGGGCATAGCCCGCGTCATGGTGCCCAAGTAGGAGGAGGGCGAACAGGGCCACACCCCCAGAGGCTGGAGCTTACTGAAGACCACCAAGCAATAGAAATCTCAATTTAGGAATCTCTGCATTTGTAGCTAATACTTAGGGCCTCCAAGGGCCGAGATGAGAGAGTTGTGCATTCTTAATATTTTGTGTTTTTTATGTGGCTTGCTTTTGCCAACCAATCATGTATTGTTAGCGTTATTAAAGGTAATTGCAGTTATTTACGAAATGTAATGTATATAAAGCACATGCCAGACGAGATGTGTGTGTATTTTGAAATTACTTTAATCTCGACTGTTTGAAATAGTGAACAAAGTCCTAATTTATATTTATATTATTTGAAAACTATGTAACGAAATAAAGAATATATTGAAAATGTTTAAAGATGATTAAAAAATAAAACTACTTAGATTCGAACATCTTTTAAACTTCGCAAACAAAATGTAAAACTCCCTAGTTTGTAGAGGGAAAGAATTAAAATAGAGATTTTTTTAAACATCTTTAAAGTACATTGAAAACGAGTGAATAAAATCTTTGAGCTTAAAATAATAGTTGTAAACTTATGAGTATTTGCTTTTAAGATGTCATGGTTTTCTCAATAGACTTTATCTTATTTTTAAACTTAAGTTAACGGTCGTATAACGGTACATTTTTGGTATTTTTTATATCAACATAGTATATATGTGGAGGGTATGGAAGTATTTTTTGAAGGTTGTAACCGGTCACTCTGGACAGAAAGAAAAAACAAATCCCCTACGTTTGTGAAAAAAACATTTCAGTGGAAAAAATAAAAGCCTCTGCTTGCGATTCACACAGTGTCAGCACACTCCGTTCGCAATCCGAGATTCTCCAGCTTGGATCCACACAGTATTTCGCATCAGAAACCAAGTAAAGCTCTGCAATATGTCGTCCGAGGAGCTGGCGCCAATTAACGAACAGGACTTTAAGGACCTCAAGGAGCGCATGAAGTTGATTGTGGAGGCCGATCCAAAGCAATATCATAACGACTTTTCGCTACGGCGCTATTTACGCGCCTTCAAGACCACAGATGACGCATTTCAAGTGAGCCATTCGCAAATAAAAACCAATATACTGCTCCATATATGGATATCCTCAAAAACCGAATATTAGAATACCCTTTTACCAGTTTTTGGTATCATTTATAAGGCAGTTGTGGTTTTTCGTTGTCAGATTTTGACCTTCATTAAAAATCACTACTTTGCAATACATATTTACGCATATTATGGATAAAGTATTATTTGTTTTGAATAAACTTTTTTCTGAACTAGAAAAAAGTTACTCTTAACCTTTAAGGTCAAATTTTTATTATGGGGTCTAATTATTTTCCAAAATCATACAAAATGTAATCTATATTTTCATTGGCGGGCTTATGACTAATTTTAGCAATTATTTTTTTAGCGTCGTTTATAGAATATAATATTTCAAAACCTAAAAAATAACTAAGAACGGATTGATAATATGTTTATTGCTTTGCTTATTAAATAAACATAACATTCCACACTTAGCTTAAGTACTTACACTGTGACTAATAAGTTTTTATCTTTTTCCATCACAGGCCATCCTAAAGACCGGCCATTCGGGTGTTGTTGGACGACAATACCGCCAAGAAGGTCAAGTTCGTGGGCGATGAGGTCGAGCTGTGCCAGTACCTCATTCCGGATATCCTGCCAACGGACATGTAAGGCTTCCGCCTCCAAATCAGCACCCGATGGAGCTTCTTTTAGACGTAGACATATCTCCAAGGAGAAACCGAAACCAGTACCTAAGTTTGCACGGAGGCTTCTGAGAGCTTTTATCCAGTACAGTACTCTATCTGTAAATCGATGTGTTTAAAAAGTTGATTGTAAAATGTATTTTATTGGACACAACTATTAACTATTTTAGATAAAGGTTTATCTTGTATGTGTAGTATCTATATACCTGAATTCGTATAAGACAATTATATATATATGTATATGCAAGTGTCTATGTGTACAGCAAATAAAGTTGTAAAAAAAAAGTTAAGATTAGATGGTGATACATGGCACACGTGAATAATCGCTTTGTGGGACCGGTCGATAGTGCTCTAATTTTAGCGAACTTATCATGTGCCCAGTGATAAGAATCATAATCCCCAGCGACTTGTCGTGCTAGGTCTTATCAAGTAATTGTTTTGGTTTTGCTGATTTAAAATTCGCGCCGATTAGGGCTGCCACGGAGATGGCAATCACTTAAGGGCTTCTGTGCGTTTGCCAACACTGTTACTTCTATATTTAGCTATAAAAAGTATATTTAATAAAACACACATTTTTTAATAATACGCCTAAAATTTATTTAATCACACTGTCTTATGTTTCTGCAAAATAATAAAATGGCATAAATAAAATGACTTTTTGTTGAACTCTATTGTAGTTTTCAAGTATTTAACTTTAACTAATATTTTACAAGCTGAGGAATGAATATGTTTTTTAGTTAAAATAATGCAGCAAACATTTAAAAACAGACTGGAATATACCTAATATTAACCAACAGCTCGCTGGTTGAGAACCAGTAAATTTGTTATGTATGTTTTAATATACAATTTTCTAGCTAGTTTATAGCTATTTTAAGCCCAATCTATTTCCAGCTAGCCATCGCAGGTGACAACTCTGGCGCCAACTGGTTATCATCGCAGGCGAAACAAAAACAAAAGTCGAGCACTTGATAAGGAAATCTGAATCGCGCACTATGAGACCTCGCTGGAATAGCAATAACAATAGCAATAACAGCAGCGAAATGGATAAGTCGGTCCGCCAGTTTGGAGTAACAGCGTCCAAAAGCCAGTGATCGACGAAGCGTGCGCTGGGAAAGATGTCGGCGCCTCCAAAAGTAGCAACAAAACCAGCAGGAGAACCCGAAGACTGGGACTCTTCGAAGGATGTCGGATCTCCAAGGGATTCGGAATCAGGTTCCAGGCCACCCTGCTTCATTCTAGCCCTCGATGTGGGCACCACCTGTGTGCGGAGCTTTGTTTTGGATGAACAATGTGTGGTCCGGGCATCGGCTTTGGATGCGGTAAGTGATTCGATCTTCAAGTGACCCTCGGGTGCAAAGTTAATTGAGCGAAAACCTTTACGACCTTTGGTGCAATTAGGTGGAGCTACTGAACCCACAGCCGGGCTATTTCGAAATCGAACCGGAGGGCTTGTGGCGCAAAATTGTGAACGTTATAACGCGGGCGGTGAAGGGTAAGTAGTCTATCGGCTCCCATAAATGAACAACAGGTTCAATACGGGGTTTAATAAAATAATAATTGGTTTAGCCATTCCAACAAAATATGAGGAAAGCCGGGGCTGAATCGCTATTAAAAAACTTAAATGTATTTGATATAAAATCATAAAGTGCTTTGAAACGAAAAACAAATGTTTAAGGGGTTTTTATGATAATACATGCCTTCTTATTCATACCACAACATTCTAAAATCTGTAGTTTTAATATTGTTTAAAATACGATATTATATTAAAATTTTCCATGAGTTCACATAATGTTAATACACTTAGTATGATATCATGAAGTGCTTTAAAACAAAAACCAAATGCTTATGGGTTTTTAATGATAATAGTTTTAATATTATTCAAAATAGTAAGCCAGTAAGTCACAATGATTAACCCTTACATCTGTAATCTTCAATCATTCTTAATTAATCATCCTCATTTTATTACCCAATGCAGACGCCAAGCTGACGCCCCTGGACATCACCTGCCTGACCATCTCCACGCAGCGCTGTACCTTTCTCACCTGGGACCATCGCAGTGGCGAGTACTACCACAATTTTATCACCTGGAAGGATTTGCGAGCCGATGAGCTGGTGGAGCAGTGGAATAACAGCTGGACGAAGAGCTCGATGAATTGGTTCTCGTACGCCTTGTTCCTGCTCACCCGTCAATCAAGATTCCTTGCTGGAAGCGTCCTTAAACTGATGAATGGCCAAGTAACGCCAAGGCTGCTCTTCGAGATAATGCACAACAAGAAGCTGAAACAGGCTCTTATGCAGAAAAAGGCTCGCGTTGAGCTGCTGGACTCGTGGATCCTGCACAAGCTGAGAACTGGCAGCAGTCGCGACAAGGATGTGGAGCACATAACCGATGTTACCTCAAGTACGGCGACGGGATTGTACGATCCTTTCACGCTCAGCTGGTCGCCGCTTATAAGTTTCCTTTTTGGCATTAATGTGAGTGGTTTGGCTTCTCTTAAGGACGACATTTTTATATATCTATGCTTCAATTACAGTCGAAAATCCTGCCCCGTGTTGTGGACAATGCGTACAAGGGTTTCGGCCATATGCATCCTATGGCTTTGGGTCCCGATTGGGCCAACACAAATGTTCCCATTGCCGCCTCTGTAAGTGACCAAACGGCAGCCATGTGGGGATCCCAGTGTTTCAAGAAGAACGACGTCAAGGTCACTATGGGCACCGGAGCCTTTTTAAATTTGGTCACGGGTGAACGTTGTCATGCTGCCATCTCTGGCATGTATCCACTGGTGGCTTGGCAATTGAAAAGCCCAGCCAGAAATCAGGGAGCCATCTACTGCATCGAGGGAGCATCCCACGACTTTGGCACCGTGGTAACTTGGGCGCAATCCTGCGAGCTCTTTGAGAATCCGGCGGATACATCGGACATTGCTCAGTCTGTCCCAGACACAAATGATGTGTTCTTTATGCCTGCCTTCAGTGGCCTGGGGGTAAGTTTATTGCAGCAGTTCGAGATTAGCTAATCCTCATCTTATCTTCTACAGCCCCCGGTGAATGATTATCGGTCAGCAAGTGGCTTCATTGGTCTTAGTCCGTCCACAACCAAGGCCCACATGGTGAGGGCCCTGCTCGAGAGTATAGTCTTTCGCCTGGTACAACTGATCGAGGCTGCCGAAAAGGAAACTTCTCAAAAGCTGCATATGATTAGGTAATCAAAAAGTTCCTAAAAAATAATTTATTATAAACTGTAGAGATGATATAGGAAAACCCCTAACTAAGCCTTAAGTCAAAGCTTTAAGCTAGACAGTTGTTAATTTTTTATGGATAATTTAAAAGGTTAAGCAAAGTCCAAACTTTAAGAGACAGCAGACATGCAATTGCACACATTCAAATATATTCCTCGTTTCTATTGACTTTTACCACCTATTGTTAAATAGACTTTAATGCTAAGCATTTAATCATTAAAAGATCACCTTCTAATAGGGGTTTTTACTTGTATACATTCTAAACGATCTTAAATATTTTCAGGGTTGATGGTGGCGTCTCCCGCAACGACTTCGTTTGCCAGTTTCTGGCCGATCTCAGCCAGCTAAGTGTGGAGCGGGCAAAGAACACGGAAAGCAGTATCATGGGCGCCACATTCATGGCGGGCATTAACCAGGGAATCTGGCGCGATGTGGAGGATCTCAAGTGTTTCCGGAAAGTGGAGCGGATCTTCGAGCCGCGGCCGAAAGAGTACGACACTATTGCAAACCGGATGGACAAATGGAGCCGGACAATAGCCCGGTTCAGCGACTGGTACTAGTTTATAAATATGGCACTATATTTGATTGTACTTTTTTTGCGATAAAGTCATTAAATACTTAGAAGGTTAGGTAGTGGTATATTTCAGTCTCACATTTATTGACCGGCTTTGAATTTGTTAATATTTGAATTTTTGATACCGCCAAGCAGTTGTCCGCCGATAGCCGATAGCGGTTAGCCGTTTTAGCTATTTTTCTATCGCTATCGGCTACTTTTAATCAGATGGACTTGTTATCGCCAACACTAATTTTTGGAGCCCAGCACGCTGCACGTTTGTTTTGATTTTGTTGCCGCAGAAAAACCCTCGAAATGGCAAAAACCAAGCGAAATGTGAGAGCCAAGGCGAAGAGCGTGGTGGGGGCTGCCAAGCAGAAGGCGCAGGACATGCAAGCGAAGCTGCGTCAGGATCGACTGCTCCACAAGACCCTCACTCCCAAAAAGACGACAACCAAAAAGGAAAAATCCGAGGCCAAACACAAGAAGCTCCTCAAACGCTTCGCCGAAACGCGAAAAGAACGCAAGGAGGAGCAGGCACGAAAGAATCGTGAGAAGACTAAGGTCATTGGGGATCTAAAGCCACTCCGGGATGCACTGCCGTCGCTGCAGGACATCTACTCAATGGTGAAAACCCGGTCAAAGGATGCCGCCGAACGGGCAGTCCTCACAGAACCAGAGGCTCCTCTGAGTGCCAACGAGAAGATCCGTAAGAAACGCACGGAAATGGTCAACCGGGTGAAATCCTTCGAGAAGCTCATTAAGGACAAGAACTTTAAAAGGAATCCCCGCGAAGTCGTCGCCTCCCACTTGCGAAACAAATACCAGGCGATGGAAGAGGATGACGATGAATAGAAGCCACATTTCAAAAACCTATTCTTAAGTAATACCATTAAAATACGATATTGTATTTTAAACAAATGACCAAAAAAAGATGTCAGAAAGTCCTTTAATTCTCCCTCTGTTAAGTGCCTCAAAAATACATTATGCCCTAAACTTTAAGAAACATCTTTAGAATACATATGGATAATGACAATTGTCAAGAAAATAACTAGATTATAAATGGTATAACAAAATAATTTTCATTATTATTTATAGTCCTTCCCCAGCACCCAAGAAAACCAGCCAAGTTTGATTTATTAAGAAGTATCTTTATTATATATGCATTAGGTATAGTTATCATTTAACGATGCATATAAATATTACATGTACGAATGTAAGTTGTAAGCATTAAATCGTAAGAGGCTCAACAGAACGAGGATTAGACAAGATTTGAACGTGAGGACTCGAGTTCTCCTTTTGTATATTTTTTGGGTGTTTTTGCTTCGGCCCGGGCTATGTGATCGCAGTAATCAAGAGCTACGTTATATCATAGAGCGTTGTTAAATATGCGCTTGCCTAGGGTTCGAATTTCAACTTGGTGTTGTTCTTCTTACAGTGAAAACGGAGCCATGGACTCGAGGTCCCTGCATCCGGACAGTTAATCTACAGCTATTTAATGGTTATTATCGGTATTATCGGGTTAGTGTGGGCTGGCTCCTTCCTGTGAGATCATTTAAACGTTAGTCAAACACATCGGCCGTCTTGTCCATCAATCGATTCCATATCGCCACCAGCACTAACAGCAAAATTAACATAGTTATTGAAAAAGTGTCTCCATAAAATGGCATTATCTCATGTACAAAATGTAGGCGAATCTACACTAAACTTAGGTTACAACCTACCGCGTTACGTCTGCGTGATCTTGAATTTGATTGAAATATATATGACGACGTTATTGTGAACGGGTTGTGGGTTCTTGGGGGGCGCGGGTCGGGGTCTCTGTTAGGCTAGGCTCGTGGTTTCCGTATCGAAGTTTTACATATACATTTATAGAAAATATAAGTCAACTAGGTCTAGGTTTTGCACATTCAAGAGTTTGAAACAACAAACTTAAGCTAATTTGAAAATCTTTATCGGCTGCAAACAGTGAACGTGTTTACTTGTTCAGCAGAAACATGAGCAGGCTGCAATGGAAGATTGTTATTATTATTATTTTCGATTTCCAGAATCCAATTGAGGGTTACTCACCGGAAGTTAATGCCTTTGTTGGCCAGCATACGGTTGCATTCACTTGAGCCGCTACCGCCGATGCCATCTGGTAATGGCAAGACGTAGTACTCACTCTCGGTACTCTGAAAGGCGGGGATAAGATATCAGTCCATAAATATAAACAATTTACATAAATTTATAAACAGTTTTCTGCGACAACACGATCAACTTACCGTCTCGGTGAATTCGTGTTTGTATATCTGGGTGGAAACTTTCATATCGGAGAACGGACCCTTGAGCGCAAAGAAATGTATGCTCATGGGCGTGCTGGTCTTGGTCTTCAGGATCAGCTGATAGGTGATGGTACGCTCGTTCGACTGGTGCGGATCGCGCTGGCTGTTGTTGATGCGGGCCTTCACCACCCACTGCTGGTTGAAGGCCGAGAAGCGAGCCGTCTCGTAGAAAAGCTTGTGCACATACTCGTCCGTTCGATAGGGTTTCATTTGAAGATCTGGAAGAGGTTGAATAAAAATGTGAGTAGGCATAACAATAAGTGTCATACAGTAGTAAAAATGTTCTATAGAACCCATTTTACTGCCCGCATATAACCAAAAGTTCTATTACAACTACCATGAACAATTAATCTCAATAAACCGAAATGTGGTAACCCAAGGGTGCCTCACCATTGAATATGATCTTCTCGTAGCTTAGCAAGTCAATCAGGGTGTTGAACATCTTTTTCTCCTCCTTGATCCTTTCATCGTGAGCCTCCAGGGCAGCCATCACCTCGTAGCCAGACTTCTGAGGGTGCAAGCAGTTGCGCTCATGCTCGTTAGCTATGGGTTAGAGTGATTTTTATAATTATACGGGTTATTAGATATACTAAATTTAGGCGACGGCTCTTACTCTCATGGAAGGGTCCACGCCACTGGCAGCCAATGCGATGATATTTGCATTTGGTTGGGCGCTCCTGGCACTCGTGTTGTTCATGGCGTTCGAGTGATTTGTAAGGGAACTCCTTGTTGCAAAACTATATATCCAAATAATAGAGTTAAGTTCAATTTTAGTGAAGCCTATTAAACAAATCTCACCTGACACTCGCTGGGCAATTCTGAAGCCGCCTTCTCCACGGCCAAGTTACGCGAAGCAGTGCTCTTTGATATTTCCACGCGACAATTGGGGCAAGTGGCAATTTGATCGCGCAGGCTAAAGAATAAATATTTTTGAAATACATTTAAAATGGATAAAGACCAGAACTAGTTAGTAGTAGTTAAGAGAAGCATTTGCAGGGATCTTAGTTTGGTTTTTAGAGTGGGTTCATACCGTCCATCCGCTAGAAGATGGGTGAAACAGGCGGCGCACATCAGGTGACCCATCTGGCACTGCAAATGAAAAGAGCAGAGAGAAAGGGAAATGCAATTTTAGTAAGTTCACGACTCGACAATCGACTGGTAGATGGATAGAGATTGAAAACTAAAACAAAAGTGGAATGAAAATTAACCTGCAATTAAAGAAAAAAGAAGAAAAGTTTTCTATTAGTCAAAATACGGCCTTGTTGCAGAGAGCTTATATGGATTTATGGGTGTGGGGTGTTTCTGGGTGGGTGTTTCGTTTCGTTTCGAATGAATGAATCTATTTTGGATAAATCTTTTGGGGTGGGGAAGATGGTGAGGCATGGATTTCTTGGTGGGAGGTGATCTGAAGTGAGGTCTGAAAATGTTTAGCTTTGAGGCTCCGGTTTGTGTCTTTTTTTTGGTTGAAATAAAAACGCTATGTTGTAGTTTGGTTTTATTTTGCATTCTCAAGTTTGCACTCTCCTTTGCAAATTTATTGAATTCACTTTTTCGTTTCTTTTTTTTGGGGTTTCTTTTTTTTGTTTTGGTTTTAGATACATTTCAGGGTTTAACTTTAATGCTATTATGAAATCTGTTCTATGTACTTAGCATTTATAGTTACAATCTTATGTTTTTCTTTTTTTTTTGGTTGCGTGTGCTTACAAAGGTTACGAAATCGAGATTATTGACTTAACTAAGATTAATTATTAGGAGAGCTAAAGTTTATCTAAATCAAAATCATAAGTAGTGATAGTTCTGGGTTAAATTTAGCGTTCGTTATCATATAAATGTTGTTCATTTTTTTTTATCGTTGACAGCCAATTAAAACGTAGTTGTGTGTGTTTTTCAATTGGTTTTCAGACATGAGTTGGTCAAGCAATTGATGAAAGGTCGGGAAAGTGGACCGATAACGGCCAGATAAGTTCGAAAACCCCGATGTGAAATGTAACCCCCGCCGCTGCACACTGGGCCAGCCGATCCGATTTTTGGCCAAAAATACGTTGTTTTTTTTTAAGAAAATGACAAGACCGAGTATGGAGTCCTTTTTATTATACATTAAACTAATTTATGCCAAAGTTTCAAAGAATTCGGGCAAGTAGTTTTTTTTTACCGTATTTTTAAAGTTAAAAATTCATCAAATATTGATGGAAATGAAAAAAAATCTAGAAGTCAAAGATGCTGATGTAGCTGTTCGACTTCTTCACAGAACTTTTAGAAGTCATTATTTTCAACAAGTAAAAAATTATAAATAGCTCTTCTGACTTACTTGTTTCCTAAAAGAAACTTTTTCGTTGATTTTTACTGCTTTTTTTTAGCAAATGAGTACTTTGCTTTTCGAGTGCTTTTGAGTGCCATCCCCGAATGAAGTCATTACATCAAAAATAAATTCTTTAATTAATTTACTAAAATCGCTCATCGCCGACTCGATGCGGTTTTGCCTTAGTTTTCAGTAATTTTAGTTTTAGTTGATGGCTTAATTTGAAGTCGAACCATTTTGAGGACTTATGTATGCCCAAAGGTATGCTGCATTTCTTGTACTTTCTTCGGAGAAGAACTAAAATATATTATAAAAATATAAATGTAGCTTACATAAATACGTAGTCGAAGGCCTCGTAGCTAGCACTACCCCCTATGTTAGTATTAGTTTTTTAAACTTTACTATGATCTCAAATTAATAAATAAATAAATAAATAGCATACTTTTGTGATGACTTCAGAAAATGTCAAATTAACATTAAACGAATTAAAAAACAATATTTTTCAAACAATTTTTTTCTAATAATTTGATTATAAGAATCTAAACAGATAGCAAGAAGAAAAAAATAGAAAATTTTGTTAGGTCGATTATTAAATAAACGTTCAAGTGGGAGCCTCTGAAAGTAGCAATTTTTAACGGTTCATAAATCTCAAACGACATCATATTTTATAGTAGTGTTAATTTTTTTAAATTTGTTTTCTCTCATACTTAATCGTGTATGAAAATGGATTGAGTGCGTCTTCTAGTTATTTTTTTAAAAATAAAAAACCGAAAAGTATGTAAAATTTTCCGATTTTGGTTTGGATTATCTATACCATATAAAATTCCAATAAATTTTACTTTTAGTTCGTTGAAATGTTCAATCTTTTAAGAGATAAATGCAAAAAACTGCATCCTTCTAACTATCCCAGGAAAGAAATTACAGATTTTTGGCCAAAAAATGAACTTTCTGGCCCACAGTGCGCTGTAAGGAACCTTCATTAAATCGTCGCATGCGTTTATTTATTCGGTTGAGTGGAAGAATGCGGGTCTGTTTCCCTCATTTTGGAATTTCTATATCTATTTTGGGAAAAATTCAGCGCCGGAGAAGGCGAGCGATAGTCCGTCGGGACTATTTGTGGACGGAGCCGCGAGTTTCGAGCGATAAGCAATGGTTTTCTTGTGTATCTGTGCACATAACAAAATGCTGTTGCCTCGAGGATCCTCACAGAAGTCTTAGGCAAGCAAAAATAAACAGATATGCTTTTCACAGATATCGTGGTTCTTTTGTCTAGACCACTGCCTAAAAAATATGTGCACATTGGAATGAAATATTTTGTGTATTCGTGTATTTCTATTGCGATTGACATATTAGAGTAGTATTATTAGGGATGGTTAACAGTCTATTCTGGTATTCTAATTTTATGTCGACTTTTGGGTTTGTTTTAAGCTGGAATGACAAAGGTATGGTGATACTTTATATACCCATACATGGTTTCTGTTTGATAAAAAGTTTCACTGCCCCACATGATGTTTTGACTATATTAATCCAATTTTTTCCCGTGTTCTTTGTGTATCTGCTCAGATATCTGAGAAGTCGAGTGTGTTACTGTATCTTTGCAGTTGAATGAACCCATGAATTCGTGTGTTCTTTGATTTGCAATTTATGACCTAGACCAACTACAGGCAGCAGCTGCTTGCAAGCCGATTGTTTAATGGAAAATCCTCGGGATTCGATCCACAAAGGAGTTTAACTCGTTTTTCCCCCAAGTTTAAAATAACACACGAAACGGAAAAGAGCAGACACAACAAAACCCAGCTGATGGTGTTTTCGTAGATAGAGCGTGGAAAGAGGAAGAGAACGTCAACAGCGTAGGTAAAAGGAAATCAAGCAAAAGATCGACGACAGAAAAACTCAGGTGTGTTTTTAGGTATATGTATGTATGTACCTTTCCCCCCAGAAACACATACATAGAACCCCTAATAAATACACTTAGAACCCAAAACTGGAAAAACGAGTTTATTCCGGATTACAGGTCCTAAGACCTGCAGCAAGCTGATTCTACAAATTCATCAAAAACTTTCGTGGCACTGCATTTCCAATATAAAATATGCGTAGTACATTCTTTCTACGTTTTTTTGTTATTTTTTTTTACTATTTGAAATCGGCAAAACTCTCGTTTCAATTTTCCCCAGGCCTCGAACAGCTGATTTTGCCACGACGTGGGCGAGAGCGAGACAACAACAGCAACGCAGTGGCAAAAGCAAAACAATAACAGAGAGCAAAAATCACATTGTGCGCGTGTGTGCGTGTGGGTGTGCACGGTACACATACATACAGATAAGCAAAGGCAAATAAAGAAGAGAAGGAAATGCAAAAAGGAAAACAATCAAAATCAGGGATTCTTTTGCTAATTAATAGTTTCTGCAGGTTTCGGCGAATTCCTTCTGGCCATCTTTTTATGATTCACTTTGCCGTTCCGGTCACGTTTTTTAGGGTACAGAAAAGCAAAGGTTCATTTGATATTTCTGTGTGGGTCAGCAGTTATTTTTCTTTAAGCCGTAATACAAAACCAATTTCAATGACGCAGTTATGGCTGCCTTGGCACATGTGTGTTAGAAAAAGAGAGCAATGTCAACCTACACATTACGCCTTACGTAAAAGATCTGTTTGTTCAGTGGTGGAGACAGGGGGGTAGGGGGGGTGTTAGGGCTGCCCCCTAAAAGTTCAGTTTCTATTATTAGTGATAAGGCATGGACGATTTTTCAATGTTCGACTTCGTATTTTTTAGCTTAGAAAATTTAAATTTAATTTTTTCCAAATTAATGTTCAACCCCCCTTTGATGTCGTTCAGCCTAAGCCCCTGCCTTTGTTCTTTGAGACATCTGTGTATTTGTGCATTAAATTCAATCAACGTCATTTACAGCAACAACGACGCCGCCTACATATGTACATAAGTGTGAATGAAAAGGAATGCGGGATATGGTCCTAGAAATGGGAAAACGAACGAAGAGGCATCTTTAAAGGATTCGAAATCAGGAAAATCTGTCAATTTGTTGCCACTTAAAATAGGCCATGGAGACGACATTATTCGAACCTCTATGACGCAATAGAGAAAATCTGCAGTTAAGTAAATGTTACTGCGCAAAAGAAGCGTGAGAGAGGGAGATATGGGGGGGTCATAATCCATAGTGTGAAATGCAACGGTTCAATTTGGGGGGTTGTTTTCTAAAACGCAATAAAACTGCATTAGTTGGCCGAGAGTGCGAGAGAGTCGGCCTGCTTATGTTATGTTGCCGTGCCCGTGCCCTTTCTCCCCCTCTCTCGCACTCTTTGCATGTTTTCAAGGCGAATAATGCAAGAGAGCCCCAGCTAGCTGTCTCGCTCACGCACAGCTGTGTGTTGGTGGGGAAAGAGGGGTTCCACTCTTACAGCTGAGCTGCCACGATTTGTTTGTATACAGAATGAGGCACACACACTCACACACACACGCGCACGGGCACATTAGGTGTTTTCTTATTTATAACATTTTTTTTTTCCATTCCAATAAACCCCGAAAAACTCACCTGGTACATGGCCGTCTTGGGCAGATCCAGGCAAACGGCACAGCATAGAGCATTGGAGATGCGATGTGCAAGCTTTTCGTGCATCCCAGATGCGGCCGCAGCACTGGAGAGCAAACTGCTGCTGCTGCTTGTGGCACCATTGTCCAATAGCTGTTTCTTGGCCGGAGGTTCGCCAGTGCTCTGCGTGTCCAACGGCACGCCCACCACATTTCCGCCGCCCCCCGATGAGGAGGACGAGGAGGAGGAGGAGGCCGAGGAGGTCGAGGAGCTGGTGGTGGCCACCACCTGATTGTCGCCCAGGAGCGGCAAGTTCGAGGACGACGGTGGCTGCTGAACCGCCGAGCTGGAGGATTCCACCGACATGATGACTGGAAATTTCCTTGGAATTATGTTTGTTGTTTGCTTGCCAATCGCTTCGTACACAAAACTCCCACACAACTACGCTCACTGAACTAAACACACACACACTCAAAAGCAATGCCCAAGTTGCTGTCTCTCGCTCGCACACTCAGTTCATATGGCACTTTCTCTGCCTTGCCCTCTCCCCGCTGTCCAACTAGTGTTCTGTTCTGTTTTCCGTTCTGGTCTCAAACTTTCTTCCGCTAACACGTCCGCTCGCCAGGAAATTTTTTTTGTTTTGTTTTCATATTCCGATTAGAGGTGAATGTTAACATCGATGTTATCAATGTTTTCGAAGCATCGGTAACATATCGATGTTCGACAAGCCAACATCGATGTTTACCGTTTTCCATCTCTATTCCCGACGGCTGCTTACGGATGCTTACGTTTCAACGTATTCCGTTGGTCATATGATGAATTTGAAAAAGCGTACCAACGTAAGTGCAAACAAACAAAATATTTCAAAGAAAGAAATAAAGAAACTAGGTCAGAAGTCGGCTCACTCGATTTTTGCACTCGATTTCAGTGTTGTTAACCAATCGATTGTGGCATAGGGGTGGAGAAACATCGAAGTTTTAGAATTCGCGCGCGCCTCCACAATCTCATCTGAATTTGATTTTCCAAAAAATTTAATATTTTCATACACATACCAACTAAACGTTCAAATAACATACACTTACTAAGAACATTATATATATCTCCATTTCCGCGGAGATTATAAAAGTATTAATTATACGCATAGACGTTGAAACACTTAAACTTCAACGAATTTTTTAAAAAGTCTAATATATGTATATATATGTATATACATTCCCAAATGACTGTTTTTATTTTTTAGCTAAGAAAAACATTGCCTTTGGGTACTATTATTGATTCTAATCAAAGTAATATATTTCCCTAAATTACCCCTTTGAGTGTAGACTTTTTTTTAAAGATAAGTACAATATGTCTTTTGTATGTACTCTTGATTCCAATCGAAGAAATATATATTTTCAAAAGTTACTCAATTTCACTTAAGTTGAAGCACGTTGTAGATACAAGATGAAGTTTAGTCTCCAAAATTTCGGTACTGCTCCAGTTCAAATAATTATGCACAGCTATTTCTCTAATTCTATTCTTCCAGGCTTGGTAACATCGACAATATGCTGTATTCTTACCATCGCCATTTACCTTTACGTTAAAAAGCTCCGAAATACACTGGGCAAGTGCATTATTAGCTGCCTTCTAAGCATCGTCATCTGGCAGAATTCGCGTGTTCTAAAATATTGGATCCCCTTGCAAAGTTTATTTTTGGATGGTTAGTGGTTACAGTTTATATAAACAGAGGTCATTTATTATAATACAAAGTATTTGCATTTTTATCCTTTGCAGTTGGTATCTTCATATTCTTCTTTTTTGCTCACAATCTATGGCTCTCGGTCATAAGCTTTCATTTATGGAAAGTCTTCAAGTCGGTCGCTGGCGAGGAGCACCGACTTCAGTTCCTGGCATACAGTACCTTTGTCTGGGTTACAACAGCTATCCTTCCTGGAGGATATTCACTGATATCGTTCTTTGGTGGCGATGACAGTCCATTCGCAAGACTATTCGGAGAAAAACAAGGCAACCTTTTAGGTAAATACACTGATCCATAAATACTTTCTGCAACAAATCATATTTTTACTTCCGTTGATAGCTGAAATATGGCTCTCCGTTTCCTTCTTGGCATTACTGGTTTCGAGTGTTTTTAATGTGATTATGTTCACCCTAACGATTACCCATATTCTGAAAGTGAGGATAACGATAATGAAGTTGACAAGAAAGGATGATGAAACGACAACCTGCTTTAATTTCGACAGTGAAACGTAAGTCATACTTATCATAAAACTTTATAACCACGATTGATAGTAATTCTTTACTTCAAACATAGATATCTTTCTTGCGTTCGGATACTATTTGTGATGGGCATAACTTGGTTCCTGTATTTAATATCTTTTGTAATGAGCGTCCTCGGGTTTAAGAATCTGCTACTTGATGTTCTCCGTTATTTCAATTGGTTTTATGGTATTTTCGTGTTTATACTGTTTATCCTAAAGCGTAGCACCATTAAGCTTTTAATGGATAGGTAAGACTTTTTAACTAAGTGTGATCTTGGAATAACCTATTTCCTTTTCTTTCAGCATTCGATTAAAACCAAAAAAGCAGGTTGTTCGTGCTCGGAGGACGAAAAAACCCGCCTAATCCTAAAGTTTATCTTCAATATTTTAAAAAAATATTTTGTCAATAAATTGTTTATGTAATAAAATGCAAATTATTGAAATTTAAATCAGTTTTCTGAGTGTATTAACGTGCTTGGAAACCTCAAAAAATACACGATTTTAAGCCTTGGGTTGCCGGTTATTTTGACCACTTATTTTTTCAGGACAGTTAATAAATTCAAAATACAGAACCATTATACAAGCTGATGAAATTGATAAAATGTTCAGGACTGAAAATTGTGCACAATACAAATATTTTTCTATTCGCTAGGGTAAGTTTTAATTGAAATTCGCAGTTTTTAATGGTATACAAAAAAACATTTCGTACTTTTAGCCCAAAAAACATCTTTAAAAGATAACAATCGGCTATAAAAGCCGAGAGCAAACTTCTATCGAGAGTCATAAGTTTTTCGTACGCCGCGTAGCACGTTCCCTGTTTCAATATGAAATTGTCGTTGGAATGGTTCTGTATAGTTATTTTTTCAATTGCTTTAAAGAAATCAAGTGCCGAAATACCCGATTGTGACTTCCAAGATACGGTTGATATTTCAAATGCTGCAATCCAAAACGACACTTATATATATGACGGTCTGAAAATCCCGGCTGACTTAGTCGGGGAGTATAGAACTAGGCAGCTAATAGATGGATCGACAGTGCCTGTACAGAGTCATCTAAGAGCCTGCATCTGCCAGTTGCCACGGCCTTGTGTTCGGTTCTGCTGTTTCCAAGATAATTTATTGGACCAAGATGAATGTAGCGATGGGTTGAGGGAAGTAATTGCCCGGAAAAAGCCTTATCTAGACCTGTATTACATGAACCTTGACAACATGACTGTAACGTCCAGGAAACACTATCTTCATTCTGAGATTACCGTGTTAAGGACCCAGTCTTTGGGCTGCAAAGAGATTACTTTAAAACAAAAAGATTTTTTTATGCTGCTTGCGGTTCGTCTTTCGATATTGCGGATATACATATATCTTTGTCTAATCCTTGCACTTTTTAGGATGGAGAGTTACTCATCGGCTCTCTTCATAGAAGGCTCACAAAATCCGATTACTGCCTCACTCCTGAGCAGTCATATTCCACTTTTCCAATGTTTCTAAAGATTGTCATCAATGAATGCGAAATGGATGATAGAACGACTACCATAGTGGAAGATAATCTAGCGATCACCAATAATGCCGCAGTGGAAGATATACCAAAGAGTACGACTAATCAAATTAAACCGTAACTTTTTAGAAGAGTCCATAAAATTAACTTGCTTAGAGTTAATTATCATGCACTTTTATTGATTTACAATCTTAAAATAAAAACCTAATCAAAACCTACCACGGCCAAATATTAAAATATTTTAAATTGTTGGCCTGATTATATACGAATATTTAAATACTTTTGAATCGATATCGTATGACAATCCGGAACTAAGTGAGTGCTACTGAGAAAAGTTTCCTTAAAAATCCGTACTAAGACTCAAATTTAAAATTCATAATTATTATTTTAATATTTCATGAATCAAATCAACAACGGATTCTGGGTGCAATGTCGTTTATTTAACCCCATTTCATTAAATTTTCTTTCTTAATATTTCTCTACACCTTATTCTTTTTCAGTTTTACTTGCAAACATCAGGATGATATCTATGGTATTCCTTATACTTACATTGACGGTGTATGTTACCGTTAAGAAACTTCGAAATTTGATCGGCAAGTGCCTCATTTGCAGCCTTTTCTGCCTATCGATTGTGATTCTTATCCGCATTCTGGAAGATTATAAGCTGTTGGTCAGCTTTTCCTCTCCAGCAGGTTAGTTCTTTGAATTTATTTCGAATGTGGTGAGCCAGATACAAGCTTATTTTGGATATTTATCAATTATAAGAAGTTAGTTAGCTACACTTACTTCATCATCATATATGTACTTCATCACCATCAAGAACACGCGGTAATAATTTGGAAGCAGTAAATTTGTTCTTCTTTAATTCCTGCATATTTAGTGGTAATTTTATAGATATATAATTATTACATTTAACTATACTTTCTTTATTTTGTTGCAGCTTACACTTTATTCTTTTTTACGATGTCTTATAGTCTGTGGGACTCTGTCATAAGCTTTTGTTTGTGGAAGAATTTCAGGTCGCCCATTTCCGAAGAATCTCCATATGGCTTTAAATTCTACACCGCCTTTGTTTGGAGTACTGTAGCCATCCTGACTGGAGCCATTTTTTTGATAGATGAAGTTAGCGCTTGGAATTGGTTGCCCTTGACTGGCTTTCTTGAATGTTCTGTAACAAGTGGGCTTTATTATTAGCATGTTAAGGCTGAATATCTATCTAAGCAACATTTAACTTTCACAGTTTCGAAATCCTGTTTATACTATCAAGTACCGATACTGATCCTAAGCACCTTTAATGTGATCATGTTCATCCTGACTGCCATTTTTATCTGGAAATTGAGGAGCCAAGAGAAGGAGGTAGTCGAAGAAGAGGGAAGGTTGACCCATCCCATTTTCGACAGTCAAAAGTAAGGCCTATTTACTTTAGAATATTGTAACTTCAGGTCATGTCCTTGTTTCTTTTACCGATCCTAGCTACGTGGATTTTGTTCGCCTCTTTTTAATGATGTGCATATCCTGGATACTGAAGTTATTTTTGGTTTGGCGGCAGATTTCCGAACTTGTGCAACACGTTTATTTCGTTATTGACTACTTTGAGTCCATCATTGGCCTAATCATATTTGTGCTGCTTATACTTAGGCGTAGCACTCTCAGCCACTTTATAAATAGGTAAGTACTGAGTTATTGTTAGGAAGGATTTTTCAAGTAATCTTTTTAATAATATGGCAGAATTTGCACTCCGAGGGACAATCAGCCATCTGATTTATAAAACCAAGAATTATTCATTAATTTTAAAGCAACTGTCAACAAGGTTTTTAGTCTTTGCTTCAATAATGTGATTAAATTTTTTACGGTTTGCAAATTTTTAAATTTAAAAGACTTTCGCGCCAAATTTAAAATCTTGACCAACACTACACTAGTAATTACGAAGCCCTGGTCTCGGCAGCGGCGATATCGATATGTTGGGTCTAATAACGCCACCTGAAATCGAAGAAGAAGAGGCCTTATCGATAGGCTAACATGTAAGAAATAAATAATTTTGAGTTCTGTAAGTTGTGCAAAAAAAGGGATAATAATAAATGAATTGTTAAACTAACCTCCTGTGACTAGTGAGTGGGCGGTGAATGCAGAAAAGTTGTGTGTTTTTAAACCAAAAAGCGCACTTTTTTATGCAGAAATATTGGTACCGCGTCGGTGTGCGGCAGCGTTGTGTTTGTTTGTGTGTGTGTGCAACAGCGGCAGCAATTAAAAGAATAACAAAAAAAGACAACAAAAAACATAAACTTTTGTTTGTTAAACATAAACTATATCTATTTGTTATCTGTTTAGTTAAAGCAACAGTAATTTGGACCAAAATGCGTCTTAAGAAAAGAGTGGTAAAGGTGGCTTTATTTTTGGTGATCAGACAAACATTAAAAAAAGTACATAAATCTCAAAGTATATAAGGTACTTATAATATGGATATTTAATTATTAGATGTTTGAGATAATAACCTATTAAAAGAAAAGTCAGAGTTCTAAAATTATTTTTTTCGAGTGAATTTCAATTATATCCATAAGTTTGTACTAAAAAATGATTGCTATATTTAATTATATTTCCCCTTGGCCATTTTTGTTACCTTTTTACCTCTAAAATTTCTTCCTTTTTCGCTCTTCCTCCTCTCCTCCCCCTTGCCATGCCAGCTGTTTGTCGCGTTCCACAAATATGGCTGGAGTGTGGATCGTGTGTGGGGCTCGTGCTTTTACATTTCTCTATGTGGAATGCAACCTGTGGCCAGCTGTTGGGTCCTGTTGAACTCCCCCTAGCTGAATACATATGTACATATCTATGTATATAGGGATGTGTGTATAACAACGCCAATTGCTATGGCTTCTGCAAAATATCCTGGCCACTTATGGAGCTACATGGGCTCAACAGTTTTAAAAATGTTTTTTTTTATTATAAAGTACATGTTCAGTTTCAAACTTAAACTCTTAAACCTCAACAAAAAATCTTTTTTTTTTAAGTTAAACATCTTTAAAATATATAATATCTGTAACAATATCACATACGAATCGGTTTTAAAACATTTCTCTTAAAACAATAATAATTAGTCATACTACAGTTTATTTTCAAATTTTGATTAACTTAGTGTTAATAAAAAACATTTTAAACTTAAATTCCAAATGCAAATTAAAATGATCTTCTGTAAACACAGAGTTATTATTGTCAATGCTTGCATTTAATATTTTTTTAGATGCTGTAAAACCCATGTAACCCCTTGAATGCGGACATTTTCCCACCACTCCTCCAATAGGTTCCACATCCACTGTGTTGCACACACAGCTGGCAATTGTTGTTGTTTTTATCCGAGCTCCTGTGCACACACACACACAAACGAATGCACATACATACATACACCACTCGGGGGTCGTTTGTGGACTCCATTTGGCTTGGCTGTTGGATCTTCTTTGCGTTTTCTTCATTCGTGCAGCGCCAATCGCGCGGTGTGTGTGTTGCGTTTTTCTTATTTGCAAAAACGGTTAGGAAATGGTAATGAAAATTATATATATAACAACTCTATAAGAGGAAAACTCCACATTAAATAAATACTGCAACGAAAAAAAAGATTTTCTGTCAATAAAACGGTCAATTTGCTTGGCAATATGCTGGTTAAGTGTGTATGTGTTTTTCAGATTGTGTTAAATATAAAACTCTAAAAATATGAGACGTAGAGTGCGAATAAAAAGTGTGGAAAAATGTAAAACAAATATGCGCGCAATTCTGTCTGTATATGTGTGAAAAAGCGTCCCCAAACACCCACCCACACATACTCAATTTGGAAATTAAAATGATTTCCCAGCTCTACACCCCTCTCACTCCCACTCACTGTTGCTTTGGGGGATTTCATTTTGCCAAAAACAAACCAATGCTTTTCATTTACCATTATTTATTTTAATATAAAATATTCTTCTCTCTTTCGCTTTTTACAGTCGTCGCGCCTCAATTGCTAATCATTTGCCCGAAAATGCATTTCAACAGCAAAAAACTTTCGTGAAAAGTTAAAAAAAATACAAAAAAAAATATATATTTGAAACGTACGATGTGAAAATGTGTAATGTGAAATTTAGCAGTTAAGCGCGGATTGTATGTATTATTTAAATTTTTGTTTCAATATTTTCTACAAAATAATTAAAAAGAACTGAAAAAAAAATCGAAAAAAAAACGAAAAAGAAAAAAGAAGCAAAAACAAGAAAAAGTGTTTTTTACTCAGTGCATATTATAACGAAAACAAAAACAAAGCGTAACGAAAGAGAAGGAAAGAGGAAGAGGTGAAGGCGGGAGCGAGAGAGAAAAATGTCAACGTTCTTGAACAATTTCTTCCCGGCAGGTAAGCAAAAACAAAGTCAAGCAAAGAAATCAAACACAACAAACGCAGGGAACGAAAGAGAGGAAACACAGCTGGTGGCAGGGGCGTAGGCAGGGGGGTGGCGATTTCGGGGGTCTTTTACCCCCCACTAAACAAGTTCATTATATTCTTAACCAAACTGCAGTCTTAGATTTTATATTACTTACATTTTTTATAGTTATTTTACCTTGAATTTAAAGATGTTTTTTATACACACTTATCTACTAACAACACATATAATTACTGTCAAAAATCATAATTCAGGAAAATATTACATTTTATAAAGATCAAACTAATTTTGTATATCACCTAATTTTTTAAATTTGTTTATTTCAAAGAAAAATATAGTATTATTTTTTACTGGTATTTATAAAATGTACTTTTTTATACTACATTATTTTCTTTTTTTCACTCAATTTTTTTCTTTACAAACTTATCTACCAACGATACATATATTTACTTTGAAATTTTTCAAAGGTCAATTTTTTATATTACCTATTTTTTTCTTTTTTTTTAAATTGAAATATAATATTACTATGGTTACTGGTATTTACTTTCTTCACCCTCTCTTTAAGTCCTTCGCGCGCCACTGTCTAGGTGGCATTTAATTGAAAGTCACCTTTGGCATATTTCATAAGCGTTCTCACCGGGGTCATCCTGTAATTCAATTCTCTGCCGCTCTCTCGCTTTTTTCGCTCCACTGGCGGCATGTAAATTGAATTTTCTTACCGAAGCGCATATTGTGATTATTGGCAATTACATGGACGTGACCAAGGAACAAAAGAGGCGATGGAGGATGGAGGATGGGCATAAGGACGGTATGAAGCTGTGGACTGAGAGCCGGGAACCGAGAATCTGGCCGTAATCAATCTACCCCAGAACAATCTATACACTTCCCTTTAATTACGTGCATTCCTCGCTTCGATGCCATCGATTATCGTTTTTCTTTTAGTGCCTTTTGTTCCTGGAAACTCTCAGATTCCCATTTTCTGCTCCTTGCAACCCCTCTGGGATCAGGAACAAGTTCCACACTCTGCATTCTCATGCATTTTCTTTGTCCTGCGAATGAGGTGGGAATACACAAAGGCCAAAATAGGGAAACTCATACAGGTACGGCAGGAAAAACCACTTCCTCGATTCCCTGCCCTTTGCCAAAACCAAAACAATAAGACAATAAAGAATGGTTTCTTATGGACGCTGAAGCCATGGGATACTCTTTTTTCGGGGTGGCTTTACGATAATGTAATATAACACTATATAACACTATTCAGCCACAAAATATTGTAATTTTACACGGTGATCTCATGATTTCAGGGTTTCCCACTTTCTGACTGCTAAATCACAAGATTAATTCAATAATTTATGGCCAGATGATCTTACTGCTATAATATGTTATATGCTATACTCTAAAAATTGGGAATTATGTTTAGTAAAACATATTTGGTGCTAGGATAAAGCAATTATGATTTCAAAACGATGTTATGAAAGGAAAATCTTTGAAAAATCTAAGTTATATGCTGACATTATATTATATTTAATATATCATTTTTTGTATCATTATAAAAAGGATACTCGAATTTAAACTGACTTAGGATCTATAGTACCATCTGCAAGGGTATAAAAACATTTGGAAAGCCTGAGAAAATGTATCGGAGAGGGGGTTGTCTGGGCTGGATGGATATGGATGCACACTTAAACCCGTTTGCAGAGCCGAAAATTCAGCCCGATCAACTCTTTGGTGGCGTCAAAACAACAGGGAACCAGAACTACAGCAATATCAACAATAGCAGCTCTTACCAAGCAGAGGCCAACGGCAGCTGACGGAAATACATTGACTCCGGTGATACGATGATACGTTGATACCATGGCACAATGGTGTACAATATGATGGTGGTGATGGTGATGGCAACTTCTGGATGGTGCAGCGTTGTCTGTAGGTGCACTGGGTTACCTGTTGATGGCCCTACCACTCACTGTTTTTCCTTCTCATCCTCCTCGGCCACCTTTTCCTCTCCCGACGGGGTCCGTTCTGGTCGGGTGCAATTGAAAACTGGTTTACCAAGTCGCTCCTTTTTCCACCACTCGCCCCTCAACTGTTTTGGGTTGTTTTTTTGCGTAAACAAGAGAGGCTCAGACGAAATTGGAGATCTTGAGCTCGGGACTCTAATCTGTCTGTCTATATGTATTAATTTTTTGCCCTAAAACAGAGGAATACACCTTGCTAGAAACCGGAAAAGTTAAATTTGAAGTATGATCTTAAAACTATTGTATTTATATATTTAGCAAAAGGATTTTTTGTGTTTTCTGTACCAAACACAACCTATTTTTGACCATTAATTGCAAGTGACAAGCTTTGTTACCGCAATTTGCCATTTTTAAGTTGGCCATTGCGATTTAAAAATCAAGAACACTTCCTTCTACACAATTTAATCACCAATATGTGTTCCATTTTTTTTATAAGCCTAATGGCTGACAGTTAAGGGCATTAAAACGTATTACTTCATGATTTGTGGCCATAATTTTAACCATTTTGCTGTGCCTTCTCGTGACGTTAGAACGTTTGGTTTACAGTGAAAAACTGGCGAGCCACTGGTTCTGTGTATATGGTCATCTTTAATGGGGTCTCCAGACCAGCTGTTGGCCAGTTCCACCATCTCTCTGGGTTTCAATCGCCAAAACATTCAATTTGGGCCTTTGTTTATGGCCCATAAAACAGCGAGCAACAAAAGGAAAGCGCCGTTTGTTTGTCGGTTGAACGCTGTGCAAATATTTTTGCTCAACTTTATTGACGCACCAACTAAAAGCTTCCTCAAAAAGTACCGCCCCCACTTACCACCACTTGATTCATCTCAACAAAAAATAAAAACAAGAGACAAGCTTAATTTTATTTCTATCAACTTTTTTATTGTCTAACGATTTGTGAAAGGTTTTTGCTTTTGTTCTTCTGCTTTTTATTGTGCGACAAATGCACGAAACATGAAAACTGTATCGAAAATAGCAGGGAAAATGTGCCAGAGTCTGGCGAACTATAAAAGCTAAAAAAAAAGCATTACTATCGATTGATTATACCCGAGTTTGTTGTCTGCCGCGACGGGAAGCCTCCTCTTCCCAATTTATTTACAAAATTTCACGGAAATTGTTTGCAAACAACTTTTTCCTCAGCGTTCCTTCAATGTTCATTGTTTATATCGCTAAATTTAGTTATATCATTTTTTAGGTGTTCTCTGGAATGGGGTTTGCATGCTTTTATTATTTACCAGGTTTATTTTTAGCTAGTCAGCTTTTCTTTTACATCTGACTCATTTTTTGTGTCATTGTTTTTAACAATGATATCTAGTCACGATAATCAAAACAAAAATAAACACTATAGATTGAATAATATGGGGAATTTATTGATTGTTGGCTTGAAGATAGAGATTGTATGGAACTTTATGTATAATAAGAAATGCTGTAAGGGCTTTCATCCCTTACTTGTATCTTTAAGTAATGGATAAAACTCAAATTGTAGCTTTTTCCGGACCAATTCGGAATACCAACGATTACGAGGCTTTTCTATTGCCAACTTGTGAGACCTTGGGCTTACATTCTTTTAAGATAATCTCTACGACAAGATTTCGTGATGGGGGCTGTAATTAAGCATCACATTTCGGAATTATCGCGATTTAAGCGTGAAAATCCCCCTTTATGGTACTCGCTTCGTTTCTTTTGTGACCCATAATTAAATTATAGCGTTTCGAGCGATATTGCAGACAAGTTGACGACGCTAATGTGCCAGACTTGTCACTTTTGTTATTGCAGCAGCTTTTACACTAGTTTTCCCTTTTGTTTTCATTTCCCCGCGAAATTCCAAGGCGTAGCGCAAGAAAGTATGCAACACATTCTTTTGTTGGCACGCATCATTCTTTTGCATATTTTAGCATTTCGGCTTTGTTTTTTTTTGGCAAAAGCGGCTAATAATGACAACAGCATGGTGTTTTCCTCGCCTTTCTCCTTTCTCCTTTCACCGCCTTTCCCCCTTTTGTCTCTTTGGCTATTTAATTTCGCATTCGCTACTTGGCTTGCCAAAAATCACATTGCGCCCTTGAGCCAAAAATGTTGTGCACACACGCATTACTCATACGCCGGGGTGTTCCGCCCATTTCCCATTTCGCATTTCTCATTTCCCTGCCATTATAATGGGATATATCCCTTGAATATCTCGTAAATACGCCGCTGGGCCTGGGCCCACAGTCTGGTGGTCATAAAGCAATTTGGCCAAGTGCGTGGTCCGGACACGTGCCGAACAATATGGCAATCGGTGGTGTGGAGCAGCGAGTCTCGGCCAGTTTTATTGCCTGTGGTCGGTGTCATTATCTTCAGTTCCATGCTGGCCAACAGCACGGATTTCCGGTGCGTTGTATGCAAATGGGAAGGGGAGTTGTTAGCCAGGCGGGATTCTGCGTAAGTCTTAACTTTCCCTATGCGACGCCATATGGAGATGTTTTCAACAGCTTCTAGACATCATTATTCTTGCTTTAAATCTCATTATGATAGGTATAGAACATGAGATGGCTTTAATAAGATTACAAAGCTTTTTTTCGTTATTATTGTGCTTATTGGAGTTTAATATTTATATGAAACATATAATATAATATAATCTGTGATATATAATATATAAAGCCTCTATAAAGCAAATATCATTTAAATTTTTAATTGAAACTTGTATTTTTCCTAATGAAATCCTCAAAATAATATTTTAAAAAGATGAGTGTCTTCTATAAGCTGAAAAAGTGTACCTAGGTGAAGAACAAAGAATACCCAATACAATAATACCCATTTTAAAAATGCAAATAAAGCTAACTAAGTTAGACTAGGCACAATTTTCCAAAATGTTTCAGTATAATCTAAGATTAATAAAATTCTATGTGACATAAAACGATAAATAAAATGACAAAGAGCCATTCAAGCTTAACAATTCTCAAAAACAAAATCTTTTTAAAAAA